TCCTCATGTTTTTTTCTATTGTTTTGAGATTCTAGAAAAAAATGGTTTTAAAGTGCCGAATTTTCGATCGTACCAGAAAAAAATGATAGAAAAAAAGATAAAAAAATACATTTTTTTCCATCAAACTCAACGCGACCGCGACGCATGAGTCATTCCAAATGCTGCCTTCATAATCTGAAATCTCAATTTTCCTATTTCAAAACTCGAATTTCCTCCAATCCGTTCCTTTTTGAACTATATAAAATGAGTGGGAAGGACAACAAAAATGGATGATGAATCATTCTTTTATGACATTTTTCGTCAAATAACTTTTCCCCATTTTTCCGTCCTTCCTATTTGCCTGTGTCCCGACCTGAAACTGTTTTTTTCGCTATATTCTGAATCTGAACAAGTTGAAAAGCAATAATGAGGCATAGAGCGAAAAGCGTCGCTTCTATGAGGCCTGGGTTGGTTTTTTGGACCTTTTTTTCATTTTGACTGTTTTTTTGAAGTCGGGTTTCAACATGAAAAATGTGTTTTTCACGTTTTCCGCTCAAATTTTTTTGATTTTTCGAAAAAATTACCAATTTTGCAGGTCCGTCAAGCTTCCACTCTTCCTACGAGCGATCGTCATGGCTGATCCCAAGCAATTCGTTAGTTTATTTATTTTGAATTGATTGAAAAGCCAAAATTTTTGTGCGCTCTGTTGAGCAAAGTGTTCCCTTGAGGGTTTCTCGACCCCTTAAGAGGTCCCAAGTAGAGAGAAAAGATTGGAACCCCTCAAGTGGCTGCTTTTCAAGTGAAAATAAATTTAGTCTTGTCTTGTCTGCCGTGGAGTGTAGTGAACTGTTGTACGATTTTTTTAATCCCTCAAGTTGTCACTAGGAGGATGGGCGGTCCTTTGAGGGCTCCTGTAAAGCTTGGATATCACTAAAAAGACGCCTTTGAAGAATCATTTTCCTATAGGGTTGCTGAAGGGATCACTTGAGGAGTTTGAAAAAAAAAGACACCTTTGAAGAATCTTTTCCTGAAAGGGTTGCTGAAGGGATCACTTAAGGAGTTTGAACATTCGTCCTTTTTTTCCTTTTTTCGGGCGCCTCCTGGGAAAATTTTAAGTGGCCGCTATAGAGGCTCGCCAAGGACTACTTGGAGAGGACACTAAAGTGGCCACTAAACTCACCTCTATAGTGGTCATTATATTCCGTTTTAGTGGCCACTTCAGTAGTTTTTCATCCAGTATTCCTTCCATCAACTCTGATAATTTTAAAACAAACAGATTGGACTACTTATAATGATTCATTGACCCCTAAAGTGGCCACTAAAATTTTAGTGGTCTAGTAGTAGCACTCAGACCTCTATCGTGGCCACTATTTTTTACCCCTTTAGTGGCCACTAATTTGACTACTAAGCGGCCAATAAACCGTCAAAACCCTATAGTGACCACTGAAAATTTTATCAGCCTTCTTCAAGTGAAATTTCAAAAGTACCTTTTTCACATTTTGAATCCATTGAACTCCTCTAGATTCACCAAAAACCAGGCCATTTATTGGATTGCTCGTTTTATAAATAATGTATTGAAAAGACATTCGCATCAACGGTTCCAGGCCATTTCCTTTATTGAAACAAGGGCCCTTTATAAGGCGATGTCCGTTTTCCATTTTTAGCTCTTTTCGCCTCTTGTTGGAGACCTTTTGGTCCTTTTTTTCTAATTTTCTCGAAGATTTTTAGTTCAATCAGAAGCCTAGCTTCTACATAAATGACATCTAGCTAAAATTTTTTTGAATAAATTGCATTTTTCTACGGTTAGAACTCTGAGAAAAATGACCCAAAAGACGGAAAACTCGTCAAAAATCGGCTTTCATCCGTTTTGACAAGTTTCGGCGTCAGATCACTTTGAATCATGTCAAAATTTCCAGAAAAAAAAATGTGATCTTTCGGTTTTGAACTTGTAAAATGTCCCCGCCTGCAATTTTCACACCTAAATTTGAAAACCGACCTCGAATCGTATCGAATTTCAAGTTGCAAGACGAAGAAGAAGAAAATACTCAATTTCTCAATTTCGCTGGCCGGAAGTCGGCCTTTTCACGTGAAACAGCACGAAAAGATTGAGTAGGAAAATATTCTGAAGGCTCTAAAAGAAAATATTTCGTTTTTTCTACACTATGTGGATTTTTGAGTGGTCACTATAGGGTTTTGAAGTTTTAGTGGCCGCTTAGTAGTCAAATTGGTGGCCACTTAAGGGGTTGAAAATTAGTGGCCACTATAGAGGTCTAAGTGCTACTAATGGATCCCTAAAAATTTTAGTGGCCACTTTAGGGGTCAACGGACCAACATAACTGGTCCAATCTGTTTCAAAATTATCAGAGTTACTGGAAGGAATACTGGATGAAAAACTACTGAAGTGGCCACTAAAACGGAAAATAGTGGCCACTTCAGTGTCCTCTCCAAGTAGTCCTTGGCGAGCCTTTTCCCAGGAGGCGCCAAAAAAAGAGAAAAAGAACGAACTAAAAATGTTCAAACTCCTTAAGTGATCCCTCAAGCAAATTCTAAGCACTTTGAGATCAATTTTTCATTTTTCCAATGGTTTTTCGCGATTTTTCGTCCTCCATAACTACCCATTCCCAACGAGTAGTTTTGCGGCGGCCGACGGATTCCCAATTTAGCCCCCGAGGGCACATTCGGTCGCTGAATTACGACCTTTTTTCATCGAAGAAAACAAAACAAATCTTTGAACTTTTTTCCTGGAGGTTCAATGGGAAAGGAATGGCTTTGGAGAAGTCGTTGATTTTTTTTTTTGAATTCAGGCAAAAAATGAGGAAACGTACTTGAAATAGATTAGGGGTCAAATGAAGGCTTTTTCTTCTAAATTTCCCCAAGAAACGAAGCTCTTTCCCATAATACCTTTCAGATCATGCTGTGTCAAAAAAAAGTTATAATTTTGGAAATCTGAGCATTTTTAGACTTCATTTTAATCAATGTCTTACCAGGAAATGGTTTCTGAAGACCCCTGAATGAGACCAAGTCTACTAGATGTAATTTTTCACGCTGTTTACAAATATAGTCTCAAAAACTGCCTAGGACACCTGTGAAAAAAGTTATGGACGAAATTTTGAGCGTCTCCGATTGAGCTCTTTTTTGAGCATATATAGATCTCGTTCTTCTGATAACATATAAAAAAAGGACTTTTCTCTAGAAAATTTTAAAAAAAGAATAATTTTTTTCTGCTACCAAAAGGAATACCTTCTGAAAAATGAGCTCAATCTCGGAGACGCTCAAAATTTCGACTTTTGAGGGTCCATAACTTTTTTTCAAAGATGTCCTTGGCAGTTTTTGACACCAGATTTGGAATCAGCGTGAAAAACTATATCTAGTAAAACTGGTCCCATTCAAGGATCCCTGGTTAGTTTGGTTAGACATCGTAATTTCTGAAAATAAACTTGGAATAGTTATGTTTCAATAAATATTAATAAAGATAAAAATCGTGGCTCCGGTAGTACCAAAACCAATCGCCCGCATTTAATAAATTTGAAAACGTGTAAGTTAAAATGCGCTTTCTGAATGGCTCAACGCGTTGCGGTCGCGCTGCGGCGCGATCTTTCGAACTTTTTCAATTTCAACATGCGCAAGTCGTTTTTGGTCCGACGCACATTCCTATATAATACGCTCCACATTGAGCCATTCTAAATGCGGCCAATTGGGATCTGTTTTTTTTAAATAAAAATGTCTTCTTCTCTTTTTCAACGTGAAGTAAACTCCTATAAATTTCAAATATTTGACTTTTTTTTTTCACTTGATTTGGTTATTTTCTTCAAATATTTTAGAACCCCAGATTCAAAGCCCAAAAGTACCATCACCTCTGTTTATAAAAAGTGAGAAATGCGCCAAAACACACGCCGGAGTTCCCGCGCCCCGCCCCAGCCTCATTCCGCTGTCATTTCTTCCTTTTTTCTTTGCTCCCTGGGAAAAAAACCTCATTCTCATTCTCTTCCACTACTACTAGTACCTAGTTTCTGCACTTTATTGCTTGTATTTGGCTCCAAGTATTTTTTTTTAGTGTTTTACTATTTGTAGAGATTTTTCAAGCTCTTATCGCCATAAATTTGAAGCTTTGAATCAAAATTCGGGGTTCATATTTCAAAAATAGAATATTTTTTGATTTTTTTAACGGTTTCTAGTCTAAATTTCTCATTTGGAAAGTTCAAAAAGTGATAAAGTATAAAAAAATAAGAAAAAAACGGCGCTTAAAAAAATGCGACCGACTCGAAACGGCTTACGCTTTCAAGCATTCAAAACACTTATAGAAAAAGATCAGAGAAATTTAACAGCAATGCAATTGAGACGCTGTGAGCCATTCCAAATGCGGTCGAATTTGGCGATTCTCAACAGAATTTTTACCTTGACAATTTTTTTAAAAAGTGATTGAATTTTTCAAAATTTCTTTCAATTTGAGACTTTTAATAGGACTATTGGAATGGAGAACCCTGATTTTTGAGCTTCATCTCAAAATTTTTTCCGAAACACCCTCGAAAATTGCTGTTTTGAGCAGCCACTCCAAATTGGCCGCCGTCTGGGACCAAAATTTTCACTTTTTCAAAAAATTTTATATCTAGAAAGATTCGAATTTCGAAAATTGGTTGTTATTGAGAAGAGCTTTCGAAAAAAATCCCAGCTGTTGAGTTGTAAGCTCCGGAAGTTGGCACCTATTTTTTTTGAGTGTGAAAAAAATTTTTATTTATTGCTTTTTTTTTCTCTTTTTTTCATGAGCTTCTTGGAGTATTCTCAAACTGGAAGGGTTCAAGGCTTTTTTTTTTTTTAATTTTTTTCAAAAACTTTCTGGTCGCATTTAGAATGGCTCTGCGCTCTGCGGGGAATCAGAATTTTTAAAATTTCATCAAAATTTTCTTAAACTTGAAGTTTTTTGCTTTCTGTTTCTTCTTCTCCAGTTTCTGCTAGCTTTTTTGCATCTTATACATTCTATAACATCAAGCGAAAGTAGTTTTTGGTCGGGCGCAGTTTCAAAAATGACCGCTACGCTGGTTGAGCCATTCCCCATGCGGTCATGATTTTTCAAACTCAATATATTCCCGTTCCATCAAAATGTTCGAATTTTAAAAGTTTCCCTTATTTTTTCTGGAAATTTTAGATCCAACCCAACGTTATTGATGACGTCTCCAAGGCGTTACAACAACTTTTTTAAATTTCAAAATTTATTTTTCGTTTTCACCTTTTTTTTCTCATTTTTTTCGAATTTCCCGCATTTTTTGGACTTCTTCCATCTCTCTCAGAATCACCCTGAACCTGACGTTACCAAAACTCCAAGTGACATCGTCAAAAGTGACGTCACCGAAGAGAAAGCCGACGCCGTTCACCTTGGCGCCGATCCAAGGACTCACGGGCAAACTATGCCCCAAGGGACTACTTGAGTACTGTGGCGGCGAGCACAAGGCTCACAGAAGACGTCACGTCGTCTTCCGCGAGCAGGAGCTCAGCCTCAACGGGGGATCTGAGGCGGGAGCTTCTCAGGCTCCACCTGAGGACGATTATATCGCGCCTTGGCACTTTGCCAAGTATATCGTGAATTTTTCTGGCTTATTTCACTTCTTAAAGCTACAGTAGCCTTTACTTTTGTAACGCAAGGTTCATGAAAAGTTCGAAAAATGAGGACGATTTGGCACTTTGCCAAGTGTATTTTTTTCCGGCTTTTTGAAATTTTTCCGTTCAGTGTTCTCATCATTACATTGTGGAGTTGTTTGAAGTTACAGTAACCTTCATTTTAACGCTACAGTAACCTCTTTTCGTATTTTAAAAGAAAATGAAGCCTTCTAATTTTTGTGTATGGTGTGAGTGTGATTGAAGCTTCCATACACTGCGACGCATAATTATAGACCCATCCTAATTTCTCCGATTTTAAGAAAAATTGAAAAACTTTCAGCCACCAAACTTTTTTTGTGATAAACCTTGTTGATAAGGAACATAATCATATCATAGTTATCAATCACCCAGTTGAAAAGTTTTTCAAGATACGAGAAAATCTGATTTTTGACCGACGCAGAATTATAGACCCACCCCAGAGTTTTCCGAGTTTCCGTTTCCGGTAACACGTTTTTCCTGTTTTTTCAGTGGTATATAAGAGAAAAAGTCCTCGTGTATCACTATAAGCCATAATGCCTAAATCGACTCCATTTGATAATACCGAAAAAGCGGTAATCGATGCTCTACTCAACAACGGCTTGTCCCATCGGGAAATCGCTCGTCAAACGGGTCGCTCAAGACGAACTATTGACCGTTATGCAAGGAATCCGCAATAATACGGCACAGCAGTACATTCTGGACGGCACAGGCTGCTATCGGTTCAAGCTGAACGAGATGTCTGTCGAAAAGCATCAAACTCTACGAAGTCCGCCAACCAAATCAGATCCGAAATTCCTGAAAACGTCTCGAAGGACACCATCTTACGAACAATTCATCGATCCGGTCGATTTGTGAATACTCCAGTGAAGGCAGCACCTCGTCTACAGCAACGCCATAAGAATGAACGGCTCCAGTTTGCACGCTCTAACATGGCCACGGATTGGATTGAGATATCAATTTTTTCTATCACCTTATGATTCCCAATTTTTCTGTTCACATCATCTTCAGCGAAGAGAAGAAATTCAACCTTGATGGGCCAGATGGGTACGCTCACTCCTGGAGAGATTTGAGGAAAGATCCGATGTACTTCTCCAAGAGAAACTTCGGCGGCGGCAGCCTCATGGTCTGGGCGGCTTTCAGCGGCAACGGGACGGTAGCTCTTTCTTTTATTGGGACCAGAACGAATTCGCAAGACTACCAGCAACCGCTTGCCTAGCATCTCCTGCCCTATCTCCGTCGCCGACGACGTGCTAATATGATTTACCAACAAGACAATGCATCTGTTCACGCGAGCAACTCCACATTGGCTTGGTTTGCGGCCAATAACGTGGTTCTTCTGGACTGGCCCGCGTGCAGTCCTGACCTCAACTCTGTAGAGAATTTATGGTCAGTCCTTGTACGAAGGGTCTACGCGAATGCCAAGCAGTATACAACGGTCAACGATCTGAAAAAGAGCGATTCGTGCCGAGTGGGATGGTTTGGACAAGTCACTGCTGCAATCACTCGTTGGCAGCATGCCGAACAGGATTTTTCGAAGTCACTCAGAAACAAGGAGGCATCACACATTATTAATTAATTTTTTTGTTATACTTCGTTGACTTTGTGAAATAAATTTTGTTGATTACTTATAGTGGGTCTATAATTCTGCGTCGGTCAAAAATCAGATTTTCTCGTATCTTGAAAAACTTTTCAACTGGGTGATTGATAATTATGATATGATTATGTTCCTTATCAACAAGGTTTATCACAAAAAAAGTTTGGTGGCTGAAAGTTTTTCAATTTTTCTTAAAATCGGAGAAATTAGGGTGGGTCTATAATTATGCGTCGCAGTGTAGAAAATAAGAATTTTACAAGTTTTATCACTAAAGTTGCCACTTTTTCAGAACATCCCCTATCGTTCCAAGCTCACCGAGCGTATCGACCCCGGCCAAACGCTCATCATCCGCGGGAAGACCATTGATGAATCGAAAAGGTACTTTTGAAAAAAATCTATTTGAACCTTTATCCGCTTGAAAATGAGAATTTTGAATTTTTCTCCAAATTGGTGAAGCCCTAATAGATAATTTATCATTCAGTCGAGTCATTTTGATTAAAAAAAAATTCTGACTGAAATCTCGACTCTCGTAGATGAAAATAACCAAATCAGTACCGTCAGAGTTTCCGAATGGCCCCTATAGGGGTTAGGAGGGAAACAACCCCTATATGGGCCGAAAAAGTGGTCCCTCTAGGGGTAAAATAAGGTGGTCCTTCTAAGGGTTTTTATGTCTGGCCTCATGGCCACTAAAAAAATTTTATTCTTCTCCTAGAAACTTTAAAATGATCCCTATAGGGGTTAGAGGGAAGAACAGCCCCTATAGGAGCTGAAAAAGTGGTCCCTCTAGGGGTAAAATAAGGTGGTCACTATAGGGAGTTAGAGTCTGAACACTCAGCCTCTAAAGCTTGAGTGGACCCTATAGGGGTCTTTCAATTTCATTCAAAAAAGATTATTTTTTCAGTTTTTCGTATGAAAATGCTTCTTCCCTTAGAGTTCATAACTATCATCGACTGGCATGTCCCCTAAAGGGACCACTTTTGCGAGCTTTAATGGTCCTTAGAGAGGACCCTACAAAGACCCCTAAATTTGCCCCTATAGGGACCACTCTGGAGCTCCCAATTTCTTCAGCTTTATTTAGTTCCTCACTCATCAATCATAAAAAAAAAAGTTAAAAAGCGAAATTTCAGCCATATTTTTTGCTTATTTTCCTTCTGTTTATAACAATCAGTTTTCCTTGAAAACAATGGCTTATGAGCTTAACTTTTATTACTTTTTGTTGGGGGAATTCACCCATCTTTGCTCTGAAAATCGATCCGGGCTTGAAATGATGACGAATTTCAGGTTCAACATCAATTTGCACAAAGATGCGCCGGATTTTTCCGGAAACGACGTTCCTCTGCACCTGAGCGTCCGTTTCGACGAGGGAAAGGTTGGTTAATCGTATTTTTGAGCTTTCGATGGGGAAAAATGAGAGAAATGATGTTTTTTCTGAAGAATTTGATCATATACTTGGAAAAAGAGCTTCCGAAAATTAGGATTTTTATAATTTTCAGCTTTTATTGAAGAAAAAACTGACGGGAAATGATGTTTTTCCTCAAGAATTTGAACAATTTGAAGCCCCTGGAAAAAAATCTTACAAAAAAAAACATGTTTTTTGTGAAAATTTCAAGTCATAAATCATTTTCGAACATCGCGACACTTTGACAACTGTTCCTAGGAGCTAAAAGGTCAAAAAATAACTCGAAAAATCCGTAATTTTACACATTTTCCCTATGAAAGACGTCTTTTTCAAAGCCCCATCTGTCAAAATAACGACATTGATTGACGTATTTTCCGATTTTAACTAAACTTCCCAACTGGAGAAATCGAAAATCGCGACAGGGATTGAAAAGAAAATAAAGGTCACACGTAAAACGTGTTTAATAAAAAATAAAGTTAAAAAAAGCGTAGTTACCGTTAAAATTTTAAAAATATGAAGAAAAAAAAACTGAATAAATTATCTTATGCATGAAAATCTAGTACTAACAACCAAAATCATACCTTTTTCCCATGAAATCAACAAATTGCGGCTCCCTCCAATTTACAGATCAAACTCGAGGATCTGCAGCGTAAAAAATATTTGAGCAAACGAGTAGGTTGCATGAAGTTGTTGGTTTCTTTGAACTTGACTAACTCGATAGTTTAGAACCATAATGCCGTGTTCAAAGTAATTTCGGGGAATCGAAAAATAAAAAAAAGTAACGATTTTCTCGTTTAATTTGAAAACCCGAAATCCTGAAAATTGGCATTTCGAGGGGCCGCGACGCGCCTGCTACGCGGGTGCTGCAGCATTGGGTCTCGCAACGATCAAACGCGGAAAAAAAGGAAATTTTTCAAAAATTTTCGCAATTAATTTTTTTGTATTTGTTGATTTGATTATTGTTTTTCATTATGGCGCGTTCAGGAGCAAAACGCGAAATTTTTTTCGAAATTCAAAAGAGCGTTCACGGCGATACTTCGAAATTAGCGAATTTCGATTTTTGAGATAATTTCGAGATAATTTTTTTTCTTCTTTTTCTTTTTTAGATAATTTTTTTCTTTTATTTTTCAATTTTCAACCCGTTCAAATTTATTGATTTTAGAAATAGTACGAATGAAAGCCTTAAGTTAATTTTTTCGACTGTCTGAACTTAAAAAAAAGTTCAATTTTTCTCAAATTTCGAATTTATCGTGTTTATTTTTTTTTTCCAACGGATGTATCAGAGTGTTTGAAGTTGCAGGTCTCTAAACTATGGCGGGTATTGGATTACCGAAAGTGCTAAAGTTGAAAAAAAGGTAATTTTCATTCAAAAAAACTTTTTTTCGCAGTTATTTTTTTACAAATTTTGATTCTTTTTCACAAAAAAATTTTTAGACTCGTTAGGGAGGCACGAGCGGCTCGTGTGAAGGTAACGCAAAAATTTTTCGTCTCTACAGTCAAGCATAAATCCGTGATTTTCGACGCAACGGTCAAGAAGAAAATGGAAGGTTTTTTTATCTATACAATTTTTCAATAACTGGTTCATTTCATTAAAAAGAAAAAGTATTGAATTTTTTTCAGCTCATTCGAACAAGACATTGTTGTTTGTGGCCAGCCGGATAAATTTGGAATTTACCATGTCTCGATTTTTGTCAAATACACAGCTTTTAACTTCTCTTTCAATGATTTTGTTTTTGTTTTTATTACGCGTTTATTTTTCTCTATCATTTGTTTGAATAAAGATGATGAGCATTACCTTCTTGAAAAAAATTAATGTAAAAACAAGCTGCTTAGTTAATCAAATTAAAAAAACCTAACAACAGAAACTGTTTTTGTGATGAGATGTTTCTGAAAGGCAGAAGAAAAACAATGAAATTTTTTTATTAGAAAAAAAGTTCCATAAGGAAAGATCCAAGTTTCACGTGTAGTCTTTCGGCGTGTCCTTCGTAAACCGTTCGTCTAGGGTCTGTAAGCAGAAGAAATTTTTTTCCAGAAAGGAAAAAGCTGGTTGAACGGTGGTATGAAAAAAACACAAGCAGAAATTCAAACAAAAATTCGCCCTTTTTCCGAATTTTTTTCATATCGCTAGGGAACTTTCCGACGGCCACCTCTCCGACGGATCCCTTTCCGACTTTTTTTCCCTTATATTTTTTTCGGTTTATAAAACATCTATCAACATATTTTTTCCTATTTTTTCCTATTTTTTTTGTGTTTTAAACATGAATAACTTGCCTACTTTATATAGGGATATTTAAAACGAAAAGTTTATTGAGAAGAAAATTCGATAAAAGATTGGTCGGAAAGTTCCCTAGCGATATGAAATAATCGGAAAAGTGGTCGTTCGAATTTTTGCTGTTTTTTTTTTCATACCATCGGTTGAACCGTGGTATTCATTTTTCGTTTACAACTGAACAAGACATATTGACAAGACATATTGAAAAATGAAAGAAAAATAACATCGAAGAATAAGAGAACTCACGAATTTATGCTTGACTGTAGAGACGAAAAATTTTTGCGTTACCTTCACACGAGCCGCTCGTGCCTCCCTAACGAGTCTAAATTTTTTGTGAAAAGAATCAAAATTTGTAAAAAAATAACTGCGAAAAAAAGTTTTTTTTGAATGAAAAATTACCTTTTTTTCAACTTTAGCACTTTCGGTAATCCAATACCCGCCATAGTTTAGAGACCTGCAACTTCAAACACTCTGATACATCCGTTGGAAAAATGAACACGATAAATTCGAAATTTGAGAAAAAAATTGAACTTTTTTTAAGTTCAGACAGTCGAAAAAAATTAACTTAAGGCTTTCATTCGTACTATTTCTAAAAATCAATAAATTTGAACGGGTTGAAAAATTGAAAAAAATAAAAAGAAAAAAATTATCTAAAAAAAGAAAAAAAGAAGAAAAAAATTATCTCGAAATTATCTCAAAAAATCGAAATTCGCTAATTTCGAAGTATCGCCGTGAACGCTCTTTTGAATTTCGAAAAAAATCCTGAACGCGCCATAATGAAAAACAATAATCAAATCAACAAATACAAAAAAATTAATTGCGAAAATTTTGAAAAATTTCCTTTTTTTCCGCGTTTGATCGTTGCGAGACCCAATGCTGCAGCACCCGCGTAGCAGGCGCGTCGCGGCCCCTCGAAATGCCAATTTTCAGGATTTCGGGTTTTCAAATTAAACGAGAAAAATCGTTACTTTTTTTATATTTTTCGATTCCCCGAAATTACTTTGAACACGGCATAAATGAAAAAAAAAACAAAAAAAAAATTTAAACTATGAGTAAATCGTGCACCACTTGCATTTGTAACTGCGCGCCAGTCGCATTTCTTGCTTTTCAGTTTCGAAACTTTTGGAAGATGTCATTTTCTTTTCTTTTTATTGTTGTTTTTGTATTTATAAGTAGTAAAGTAGATATTAGAAGTTAGAGAAATATCCAGAAAGTATTTTCAAGTTAGTAGAAGAAATTTAAAAATGTATCGTCACTTTTTTTCAAATTTTCATCGATTTTTTATTGAGCCTTAATCATTCAATTGCAGTTGGTCTTCAACTCGTTCACGAAGAACGCCTGGGGCAAGGAAGAGCGTCAGAAGAACCCGTTGAAGAAGGGAGAACCGTTCGATATTCGAATTCGTGCCCATGACGCCAAGTTCACTATTTGCATCAATCGGGTTTGTTTGTGTTTATTTAAAAAACATTGAGGGAATTGTGATAAGCCATTATTTGATGGTTTTCACCAATCATTTATTTTGTTGTTTTAGTCAGATGTAGTCGACTTTTTCATTGCGATTTCATAGAGCTTTTTGAAAAGCCTTTCGATTTTTAAACGAGTTTGACAATTTAAAAGCCGTTTTTCCCAAAAAAGTACATAATTTTTTAATTTTCAGCTCTTTTCAAAAATTCTTTCGTTATATTTTATATAGCCCATTCTGCGCCAGCTTGTCACATTTTCTCGCCGAAAAGACGCTATGCTAAATTAGATTAAATTTGACCCCTCTTCGCTTCAAGACCTTTGTTTCTTACTATATTTACGGTAGCTTTATTTCTGCTGTTCCGTACCCTTCCGGGGAGCTTTCGTTCGATGCGCGCGGTCTGCATGCGCCTTTAATTTATAGCTGATTCATAGCAGGCTTGAGCAAACGAAAATTGGGTCCCGACACGATATGAAAAGTGGCCGGTCAATGCAGAACGCAAACAGGCCATGTCTTTTGCGTCCCATGCTAGCCGTGAAACGGCTATAATTGTAGTTTTAGGCCGCGCGCATCGAAGCGAATGGTTATCCGGAGTGTAATAAAAAGCATGACAACTTGGCGCGAAAAGATCTACAAGAAAATTCAAAATTTTTAATTTTCTCATCTTTCAGAAGGAAGTCAAGTCGTTCGAGCACCGCATCCCTCTGCAGAACGTCACGCATCTGTCGATCGATGGAGACGTGATCCTGAATCACGTTCAGTGGGGCGGCAAGTACTATGTGAGTTTTGGAAAGCTGAAAATGATTATAGTACTATACAATGGTTGAACGGACTCAACTTTTATATCTCATGGAAAAAAATCTTTCAGAAAATTTTTTTGAAATATTGTTATTTATAGGTATCCAAGGTTTCAGATGCAGAATATTTTTTGAATATGCCTACATTGGCTCTTATGAATCGTATTTACCACTAGAAACAGATATTTTTCGTAGATTTTCTCCTGTTTCTTCAGAAGGAAAGCCGTTAAAATATCTAGATTTGAGAGAGACCTCAAGCAGTTTTTTGTTCTCAAAAATGACCAGAAATAATTGCCCCAGTCTTTTTTTTTGTCTGTGTGCAAGAAGCATTTTTCTCGCACGTGCTGAAAAGAGAGAACTAATATTTTTTATTATGTGCGTTGTGAAAATGCTGAAACTTCAAACTTTTATTCAGTCTTCAGAGAAGGTTCTCTACTGAATCATGGAAAAATAGAAGAGTTTTAAGTCGGTTTGTGAAACTGTCGTTTATCAAGAACTGCGCGTAGAGCATCATCTCGCCTTTCTTTTGATAGTAGTAGACGATTTTCAAGCGTTCCGACGATCGCTAATTCTCCATAGCAATACTTAGGACATTCAGATTGGTCCCCATAGGGGTTAGGGGGAAAACAGCTCCTATAGAGGTTTAGACTATGAAGCTTAAGTGGTTCCTATAGGGGTCGTTCGATTTTATTCGAAAAAAAAGTATTTTTAGTATCGCATGCTTTTTCTTGTAGAGTTCCTCACAATAATCGTTTCCAATGTCACTGTAGAGACCACTTTTGCAAGATTTAGTGGGCTCTATAGTGCTTGGTAATGTAGTCCCAGAGGGGACTCTGCTCTTATAGGGACCACTTTGAAGTTCCTAAGTGCTTCTAAAAATTTAATTTTAAGAGCATAACCAAACAGTAACTTTCTACAGAGTCATCGAACTTTTAGCACATTTTTTTTATTCAGCCGGTCCCCTACGAGTCTGGAATCGCTGCGGACAGCTTCGGACCCGGAAAAACTCTGGTTCTTTACGGAACCCCCGAAAAGAAGGCCAAGAGGTTGAACATTCCAACTTTCGTCGATTCAACTTGAAATTTTCAGATTCAACGTGAATCTTCTCAAGAAAAACGGTGACATCGCCTTGCACTTCAACCCCCGTTTCGACGAGAAGGTGGTTTCCTTTCTGACTTTCAAGAAAATTCGAAAAAACGATTTTTATCTGAAAATTTCAAGCTAAAGTTCCAGGCAGGAAGCTTGTTTTGTGGTGGAAAATTGGTCTCCGGTGTAGGTTTTTTTTCTCTTTTTCAGAGGTTTTTTATAAGTTCGTTTGTTATAAACATACACTTTTCCCACTATCCTGCACAAATCAAGGCGAAAAAAAGCACAAAAATGGAAAATTTCTGTCTTTTTTCACCCATTTTCGGCTCGTTTTTAGGTTTTTATCGATGAAAAATCGAATCTAGACATTTTTTAATGAATTTGAAGGCTTCAGAAAAATAGAGAAAATTTAATTTTGTCTCATTTTTGAATGGAAATTGGAATTTCTGGCCTATTTTCTTATGAAATTCGATAAGCTTCAAGATTTTTTCAGAAGGATTCCGATCCTTGTCCAGAGGTTCATTTTTCGTTTTTCCAACTGAAAATATCAAAATAGCACATTTCTGTTGTTGTTCTTCTTGTGTGGTCTTGTCCCCTAATTTTTTTGTTTCAACTTTTTTTTTTGTGATGGTTTGTATATTCAGTTTTTCTTTTTATAGTTCAGAGAAAAATAGCAGGTATTATAGTTAAGCGTTTAAACACACGTTCTCCGAGAAAAGCGATTTTTTTTGTCTAAAAAAGGGGCGGAGCCTGTCGAAATCTTGACGAAAAGCTTCAGATGCTTGTTGTGATAAAAGTATGAGCTCGAAAAAAGCAACATGAATTTTTAAGCTCCTCACTGTTTTGGCAACTCATCAATTCTCGTGGAGAACGTGTGATAAGGATTAAATTGATAAAATAATAAATCTAGGCGGTCATCCGCAACTCGCTGGTCAACGGCGAATGGGGCAACGAGGAACGCGAGGGCAAGAATCCGTTTGAGCGGTCCGTCGGCTTCGATTTGGAGATCCGCAACGAGGAGTTCGCCTTCCAGGTAATATTTGGTTTTTGGCGGGGGGAGGGGGCTCTTTAACATGATCCAAAAAATGGTCCTGGATCTTCTTCTCGAGACCTCCATTGAGCTCGTTCATGCTCCTTTAACTCACAAGAAATTTTGAGGGGAAATTGAAACTTTTTCAATGAGGTGAGGTATAGCCCTCGCTGATGAAACCAAAAAAGGTCTTGGATATTCTTCTCGAGACCTCCATTTAGTTTACTCATGCTCCTTTAAGCTCTCAAGAAATTTTTCGAGGGAAAATTGAAACTTATTCTTTAAGGTTAGGTATAAACTGAACGGTTGAACTTCTTATTGAGAGTTTTGACGAAAAAACAGTCATTTTTCAGCTCTTCGGGGTACTTTAGTTTAAATTGATGGATACTGTAGATTACTGTAGATCGCCTTAGAGACTTGGCATCAAAAAATAGAGCTCTATGTTTCTTGAAGGCTTTGAAGTTTTGAAAGAGTAGTTTCCTAAGATTTTCAAAAACATGCGATAAAGTGCGGACGTTCATAAAATGCGACCGCTTTTTTGGGCTCCATTGCTAATTAATAAAATACGGGAGTTTTAAAATTTCCAGATTTAACGAATTTCTTCGGATCTTTGGTAGTCTGGGCTCTTTAACATGATCCAAGAAATGGTTTTGGATCTTCTTCTCGAGGCCTCCATTGAGTTTACTCATGCTCCTTTAAGTTCCCAAGGAAGTTGAAGTCTTGGAAATCGTTTTTAAATGTAGGAATAATCTAAACTGTTTTGATTGAGAGTTTTGACCAAAAAGCTGTCATTTTTCAGCTCTTCAGAGTACTGTAGTTCAAATTGATGGACACTGTAGATTACTGTAGATACTGTGGATTTACTGTAGATCGCCTTAGAGACTTGGCGTCAAAAAAAAAGAGCATTTAAAATTCAAAAAAGAGTTATTTGTACACCCATCTTTACCCTAAGATTTTTGAGGGCGTTTATAAAATGCGACCGCTTTTTTCGTGCTCCATTGCTAATCAATAAAATACGGGCGTTTTTTGAATTTCCAGATTTAACGAATTTTTCCCACCTTTTTTGATTAGTATAGTAATGCCTCTCTTGTATTTTTGACGGTATCGTTTTTAAAAAAATCCTGTCCCATTTTCAATTTTTTTTTTCACCTGATTCCTGGTGGAATACATGTTGATGAACTGTAGGAAATCGGTCTTAAGAAACGCCCGTATTTTATTAATTTGCAATCGAATATAAAAGGCGGTCGTTTTTTATGAAACGCTCGCACTTTATAAAATTGTTGAGGCGGGTAGATGTTTTAATGAGGTTTTTTTTTTCGATTTTTCTATATCAGATTATTCTTTCTTCCCCAGAATAATGAGGTAGCTCTTAGCGAGATAAAACAATGAAAAAACGTCTTTTTTTGGTTTCTCTGATCGATCTACTAACACTCCTGAGCTCGAACCGAAGCTTTTCCTTGTCAGATCTTCGTGAACGGCGAGCGATTCGCTTCCTACGCTCACCGCGTCGAGCCGCACGAGCTCGCCGGCCTTCAGATCCAGGGCGACATTGAGCTCACCGGAATCCAGGTCGTCCCCTCCGCCTGAGCACAAAAAGAGCAAATTTATACCCGCAAACATCATATAGTTCATTCTTCAATCGCTAGCTTGTCTCTCCCAAAAAAAACCCGGGAAAAATATTCAAGCTAGTAAAACTCCTATCCGATTGTGAGCCAAACATCTTTCCGCTAGTTCCACCTATTTCATTGCCCCAAAACCAGAAGTATAGAAATACAATGAAATTATTCCACTGCCCCCACATTGTCCATCGAATAAAAAGACCAAAAATTCGCATATTGAAAAAAATACATATATATCGTCTGTGCCTATGATAATCCACTTTTTCCGATTTTCACTGTTTGATAAATTTTATTGGAGATTTTTGGAAGGTGTTGAAGAAAGGAAAAAAAAGGATGAAATTTGGAGATTTTGAAAAAATCTATTTCAACTTCAATCGAAAAATGGCTTGGAAGGAATTTTTGAATCTTCCTGACACATTTTGGTCGCACTGGGAATGGCTTAATTTGCTGCGGCTTCTTCTGTCACTTCCCAATATCATCACGCGGAAACCGTATCTTCTCGGAAGCTTTTTAGAAAAATTTTGCCCGACCGCAACGAACTTAGCCATTCCAAATGCGTCCAAGATCTTCAATTCATCAAAAAATAGAGTGTAGGACTGAATTCGAAGATGAAAGCATTGAAAAACGGTTGGAAAATGGTCAGCTTCACTTTACAAGAACAGTTTGAAAAAGCTTCTAATAAAATTTATTTTATATATAAAGCAATACAAAGAATACAAGCAGAAAGTTACACGTTCGAATTTGCTCCGCTTACAATTTGGCGTTGAGCATTTTCGGGTCCAAAATCGTCTTGAGCTTCATCGCCTTGGAAATGTTGCCCTTGAGCTTCATCTTGCCTTGCATGAAAGCCTGGAAATGGGAAAAATCAGCTTTTCGTGCTTTAAAAAAAGACAAAACAAAAAGACAAAACAAAATGTTCTTTGAAACAGTAACCAAGAAGCCAAAAAAACCGCGACGCGACCGCATCGCCCAAGCAATTCTCAAAACTCCTACCTGGTCCGGCTTCAGTTTTCCTTGGGCAATGCTGAAAAAGTCGCTGTCCTTGATGTTGATGTCGATCTCAACTGGGCGGCTAGTGTCGTCCCCAACATAGGCGGGAGTTGACTAAATGAAATTGATAAAATCAATCGATAATCATTCGAAAACCTTGGCGTCGATGGTCCAGACCTTGGTGGTGCCATCGGATCCGGTCAGGGTGATTCTGAACGAGGTTCCGACCTTCTTGACGAGTTCAGTGTCCTGTAACAGTTGAAATGAGCATTGGGGCGTCATTGTGGTTCCACTAAAGACCTAACATATCGTCCTTAGGGTTAATAAGAAAGACATGTCTTTACTAATTAGTCTTTTTCGCAGAGCCTCCAAGAAGCTGTGGTCTTCAAAATGACTGTTCTTCAAGTTCGAGTAATATGACGTCATTAATTGAAGTTGTGAGATCAGAAATAAGTCCCGCTCTTCAAACTGACCGTCTTGATTCGCTCCTTGATCTCCTCAAAGATCACGTCGGTCTTGAAGGCCATTTTGTCGGATTTAGTAGAAGGTGCGGTAGTTGAAGAGGTGTTGGAAGGGTGTGCGAGTCGGTAGAGAGCCACAACTCCTGCTCCGCCGATTCCTGGAATTTTCTTGATTTATTGAAGTCATAGCGAGAAGTTGAGCTCGTTAAAAACCGACTTTCGCTTGGGGATGTGCTTGGATATGACTATACAAGCCATAGTAATAATGCTATATGTCGCAATTGGAATGGCTCAGGCCGACCATGAAGTGGCTTACGCGCCGAAGCATTTTAAAGAATAGGCCGCTAAGCAATTCCAAATGCACCACATCATCATCAAGCAGAATTATGATGAAAGGAAAAAGAGAAAACACCACTGTTGCGTTTGGAATGGCTGCACCCGACTTGAACCAACTTGCGCTTCAAGCTGTAAGGTCCATTCCAAACGCGACCATATGAGCTTCAAGCTCTGTTGAATGGACTATCAAGAGGGAAAAGAATAAATGAACAGAAGAACCGGAGGTGGGAGCCCATAAGAATGGATGGTTTCGATCCAAGCTATTGTAGCGTCACAGATCCATTCCAAATTCGATCATAAGAGCTTCAAGCTCTAATGAATGCACTATGAGGCGAGAAAAGAAAGAAATGAAGAACCGGAGGTGGGAGCCCATAAGAATGGATGGTTTCGATCCAAGCTCTTGTAGCATTATAGATCCATTCCAAATGCGACCATATTAGCTTCAAGCTCTAATGAATGGACTATGATGAGAGAAAAAAAAGAAATGAACAGAAGAACCGGAGGTGGGAGCCCATAAGAATGGATGGTTTCGATCCAAGCTATCGTAGCATTATAGATCCATTCCAAATGCGACCATATTAGCTTCAAGCTCTAATGAATGGACTATGATGAGAGAAAAAAAAGAAATGAACAGAAGAACCGGAGTTGGGAGCCCATAAGAATGGATGGTTTCGATCCAAGCTATCGTAGCATTATAGATCCATTCCAAATGCGACCATATTAGCTTCAAGCTCTAATGAATGGACTATGATGAGAGAAAAAAAAGAAATGAACAGAAGAACCGGAGTTGGGAGCCCATAAGAATGGATGGTTTCGATCCAAGCTATCGTAGCATCATAGATCCATTCCAAATGCGACCGATTCATCATCAAGTAAAGTTTTGATGAATAGAAAGAGAGATTATAACTGCTGTTGCGTTTAGAATGTCTGCACCCGACCTAAAACAACTCGCGCTCCAAGCTACCGTAGCATCATAGATCCATTCCAAATGCGACCACATGAGCTTCAAGCTCTAATGAATGGACTATGAGGAGGGAAAAGAAAGAAATGAAGAACCGGAGGTGGGAGCCCATAAGAATGGATGGTTTTGACATGCGGCACTGTTGATAAGTCTTATCACTAATCGTAGTGTACTTCTATTCTATTGTCTGTTTTCGACGGTGGTTTTCACTTTTAGACTACAATGTGTGGTGTTTCAACGTGACAGGATAAGAAAAAAGGACTTTAGGAAGTGCAAAAAATGTTCTGACAGTGCAGAGGGACCGAACTTGGGACCTTTTGGATTTGTTGGAGCTTGTCAGACCATGGAACCACGTTAGAATACTCTCAAAGAATATTTTTTCTGGGTATTTCGGAGCACCAATTCGACTAGGAAGTGGGGAAATAATCACGGAAGGGGTTTTAAAACAGCAAAAACGCGCTCAGGAACCGAACCTGTGACCTTTTGATCGTCATTTGGGGTCTCTTAGGGCCTAGTTGGGCATCTAAGAGGCACCCTAGGCTACTTTCAAAGCTTCCTCAGACCTCATTTTCGATTTTTATTTTTTTTTAGTGACCCCTTAAGGGCTCAGGAAACCGAAAAAAAAGACCTAGTTGAGCATCTTAGAGCTACACTAGGCTACTTTCCAAGCTTTCTCCGACCTCATTTTCGATTTTTATTTTCTTTTAGTGACCCCTTAAGGGCTCAGGAAACTGACCAATGTTGTGTTGCATGCCGACACGGCAGTTGGGAACCTGACGCTTTCCACATCGGCCTCGAAGTTGGTTGGAAAGTTCGACCACTTGGGCGACGCCTTAACCATCATGGTTTCCAAATTTTTAGCTTTAGAAAATCCACAAAAAATCTCAGTCTATCAAAAATCCCAATGAAACTGAACAAATAAACGGACATGACTTCATGGAGAAAAACAAAAAATCTTGGTGAAATCTCAATTTTCTCAAGGATCTGGTTAAGACCTTCTAACTTCGCCCAAAATTGTGATTCTCTAAAAAAAATTTGTATCATTACAATCAGCAAAACGAGATATTTCAAAAAAAAAATGATGTTTTCAAAGAAAACGAACCAGTGGCTCCAATGGGATGACCCTTGGAAATGAGGCCTCCGGAAGGATTGACGACCCATTTTCCGCCGTAGGTGTTGTCGTTACGGTCGACGATCTCGTGGCCTTTTCCTACACAAATAACTTTTTTTCAACCCTCTAGAAAAAAAAACCAACCAACGGGAGCCAAACCGATAGCTTCATAGGTGATGAGCTCATTTGGAGCAAAGCAGTCGTGGAGCTCGATTACCTGGAAAAATATGAGACATTCCAAATGCGACCACGTTTTTTTTGTATCATTTTTAGAAGAAAGTTTCACCTGAACATCGTTAGGACACAATCCAGTCTCCTTGTAAAGTTCTCCGGAAATTTTCTGGATCATATCGAATCCGATCATCTTGATGTTGGAGTTCTCGGCGAAGACGGAAGGAAGGTCGGTTCCCAGCTTCATTCCTGGATAATTCATAGTTTTAGGGTGGTTTTTTCCGGATCAAGACTCACCAACGATCTCAACGGCCTGAGACTTCAGGTGGGGATGCTTATTCAGGTAGTTTTCCGAGCAAATGATCGCCGCCGCGGCTCCATCAGAGGTTGGGCTGGAAATTTTTGTCTGAGGGCGTAATTAAAATATGAGACCAATAGAAAAACCGATTTCGAAATCTCAAAAAATATCGTCCTATCTTAGGAACTTTAGAGTGGTCCCTATAGTGGCCCTTGAAGGGTTCTTTCTAGGGATCACTTTACCAACCGCTATAAGGTTGCAAAAGTGATTCTTATTTAGTTAGTTTCCAGACCCTAAACCCCTCAAGGGACCATTTTTAGGGCCCCTATAGATGTTACTACCCCTTTTACCCCTATAGGGACGACTTCTAGGACCCCTATAGGGGTTGCTTTCCACCCCAACCCTATAGGGACCACTCTGGTAATCATAAGAATAGGTGTTGCTTTCTACACGAAAAAAATAATCAAATTTAAAATTTTTTTAGTTAGTGTCGAGACCCTAAACCCCTATAGGGACCAACTTAATTTTACCCCTATAGGGACAACTTCTAGGACCCCTATAGGGGTGACTTCCCCTTTTACCCCTATAGGGACCGCTCTGGAATAAGTGTACTTTAAATGCTCGTTTTCCGAATTTCACGAAAAAAAAGAAAATTTCTATTTTTTTAATTTTTTTCCTTCTATGATAGTGCCCTTTCTATACTATACTATGAAAAACGCGATTTTTCAAAATTTTCTGGAAAATCCGCTTTTAGACAGTTATGCTCCATTGATAAACCTGCACTCCAAAAGACCCATAAACTCGTAGATTTTCCTGGCGTTGAGAACCTGGTCCAACGAGAACTCCTTGGTGAATTGGGACTTTCTGAAAAATGTTCAAAATCGAATAAGAAAGAAAAATAAAACTCACGGATTGTGTACCGAGTGCAAATGGTTCTTGTAGGCGATTTTCGCATAGTGCTCACGCTTGGAGCCTGAAAATTGGTATTTTAGATCGAAATTAAAAAAGTTATTATCAGAGCGCACTTCATTCAAAAAAAAGGTACCATATTTCTGCATGTGCTCCAGAGCAGCATTACCGAACATTTGGGCAGTGATGGGCGAGGGCTGGAGGCCGAAAGTCTCGGACATGACCTGAAAATCCGAAAGTTACGATACTCCACTTTACATTTTTTGTCTAATATATTGGTGTGTTTTTTTCTTAACGAACGACGGTCCAGTTCGCAATTAGAATTATTGAATTCCAGCCTACGATGCTCCAGTTTACGCTTGAACTGGTCTATGAAGTCTCTTGTCACAGGTATTGATAAAAATCCATTTCTTGAGAAAAAAGCTTTTTTTTCAGTTTACGAGACTCCAGTTTACGCTTGAACTGGTCTATGAAGTCTCTTGTCACAGGTATTGATAAAAATCCATTTCTTGAGAAAAAAGCTTTTTTTTCAGTTTACGAGACTCCAGTTTACGCTTGAGCCTTGGTCTATGAAGTCTCTTGTCACAGGTATTGATAAAAATCCATTTCTTGAGAAAAAAGCTTTTTTTTCAGTTTACGAGACTCCAGTTTACGCTTGAGCCTTGGTCTATGAAGTCACTTGTCATAGGTATTGATATCCTTTTTTTGAAAAAAAGCTTTTTTTCAGTTTACGAGGCTCCAGTTTACGCTTGAGCCTTGGTCTGTGAAGTCTCTTGTCATAGGTATTGATATCCTTTTTTTGAAAAAAAAAGCTTTTTTTTCAGTTTACGAGGCTCCAGTTTACGCTTGAGCCTTGGTCTATGAAGTCTCTTGTCATAGGTATTGATATCCTTTTTTTGAAAAAAAGCTTTTTTTTTCAGTTTACGAGGCTCCAGTTTACGCTTGAGCCTTGGTCTATGAAGTCTCTTGTCATAGGTATTGATAAAAATCCATTTTTTGAGAAAAAGCTTTTTTTCAGTTTACGAGGCTCCAGTTTACGCTTGAGCCTTGGTCTGTGAAGTCTCTTGTCATAGGTATTGATATCCTTTTTTTGAAAAAAAAAAGCTTTTTTTTCAGTTTACGAGGCTCCAGTTTACGCTTGAGCCTTGGTCTATGAAGTCTCTTGTCATAGGTATTGATATCCTTTTTTTGAAAAAAAGCTTTTTTTTTCAGTTTACGAGGCTCCAGTTTACGCTTGAGCCTTGGTCTATGAAGTCTCTTGTCATAGGTATTGATATCCTTTTTTTGAAAAAAAGCTTTTTTTTTCAGTTTACGAGGCTCCAGTTTACGCTTGAGCCTTGGTCTATGAAGTCTCTTGTCATAGGTATTGATATCCTTTTTTTGAAAAAAAGCTTTTTCAGTTTACGAGGCTCCAGTTTACGCTTGAGCCTTGGTCTATGAAGTCTCTTGTCATAGGTATTGATATCCTTTTTTTGAAAAAAAGCTTTTTCAGTTTACGAGGCTCCAGTTTACGCTTGAGCCTTGGTCTATGAAGTCTCTTGTCATAGGTATTGATATCCTTTTTTTGAAAAAAGCTTTTTCAGTTTACGAGGCTCCAGTTTACGCTTGAGCCTTGGTCTATGAAGTCTCTTGTCATAGGTATTGATATCCTTTTTTTGAAAAAAAGCTTTTTCAGTTTACGAGGCTCCAGTTTACGCTTGAGCCTTGGTCTATGAAGTCTCTTGTCATAGGTATTGATATCCTTTTTTTGAAAAAAAAGCTTTTTTTTTCAGTTTACGAGGCTCCAGTTTACGCTTGAGCCTTGGTCTATGAAGTCTCTTGTCATAGGTATTGATATCCTTTTTTTTGAAAAAAAGCTTTTTTTTTCAGTTTACGAGGCTCCAGTTTACGCTTGAGCCTTGGTCTATGAAGTCTCTTGTCATAGGTATTGATATCCTTTTTTTGAAAAAAAGCTTTTTTTTTCAGTTTACGAGGCTCCAGTTTACGCTTGAGCCTTGGTCTATGAAGTCTCTTGTCATAGGTATTGATAAAAATCCATTTTTTGAGAAAAAGCTTTTTTTTTCAGTTTACGATGCTCCAGTTTACACCTCAAATTTTTCCAGGCTTCAATGGTCCTGATCAAGTAATTATGCGGGGACTCGACATGCTTATAATTTTTTCCAGCAACGATGCTCCAATTTACAGGGACAATCACGAACTTCAATGTGCTTATCGACGGAGAGGGCTCGGTCGTCAACGGGAGCGCTCATATTTTCCAAACTTCCAGCGGCCATTCTCTCGAATCCAGAAGCCAGGACGACGTCGGCGTTGCCTGAAAATTCAATAGTCCTGAATAAATCTTTGCCATGGAGCGCAAGAGTTGTTATTTCTAAACGCACCACTCTCGATGATCTGCTTGCAGAGAAAGACACCAGAAGAGCCAGAAGCGCAGGCGTTGTTAACGTTGAAAATCGGGATCCCAGTGAGGCCGCATTCATAAAGAGCCCTCTGGCCACAGCAGGTCCCACCGAACAAATATCCAACGGTCGCCTGCTGAATGTCCGTGTATTTCAAGCCACAGTCGCTCAGAGCTTCGTGTACTGAAAAACAGTAGCTGTAGGTCAACTGAACACCAACTCCTAGGTGAAAGAGCTCATAAAACCCTTAAATTCATTAAATCGATAGAGAAACATGCGTAGACACGGTTAGTGGAAGAAAATGCGAAACCAAAAACACGATGGGCGGAGCCAAAATATCCACCGTTCCCGTGTGACGTCATGGGAACGTAATAAGGCTTATTAAAGGCGCAGGCCGCCGTGTTGCCAGAAGTCTTCAAGACGATTCGAAATTTTTCTAGATAAACGCGATTTTCTGCGCGAAAGTGCATGCACACGACACGCGACACTTCACGGAGAAAAAGTGGGCGGAGCGTCGTCGAGAAAGCCCCGTGTAGTGTGGGAAGAACTAGGAACCTTCCAGAAACGATCTTCAGATTTTTTTCTCCAAGACCAACTCCGGAAGCTTCTTATTACACTCTTACGGACAGAAGAACTGTTCCAACTCAAGACGTTACCTTGCTTTTATATGCCATCGAATAAGGCATTTCAAAAGCTTCTGATCCAAGTCTGATCAATTGATCGACTATGTCATTAGAAAGCTGACGACGAGACGAATCGACTGATATGATTAGATAAGCTGTAGCTACTCTGAGAGCCAAGATATAAACCTTCAAAGTTTGCCTTGAAAAATAAAATTGCGCGTCAGATCAAATAAGTTGTGTGAAGTTGCGCGTCGGGTCAAGTGCTCGTCTGAGGCTTTCATCGGTGTGATTTCCTCGCGAAAAAGGAAAAGCTCAAAAAAAAGTTGGTCTTTTTCAAGTTTTTTCTAATGTAATCGATAGAGGAGCTTCCATATGGTGCTGTTATCATATCAGTTACAAAGGAAAAGCTCGAAAATTGGGTCAAATAAAGGTCCGAAAAATGGCGTTTTTTAGACTTTCAAGCCTCATATCTCGGCTCTCAGAGAAGCTACAGCTTATCTAATCATATCAGTCGACTCGTATCAGTGTCAGCTTTCGAATGATGTAGGTTATCACAAGATCGAGCTTCATCCAGAAGCTTCAGGTTTGCCTCAGCTTGTAACTCAACTTCTTGATAAGTTATCAGGCGTTAAGATAGATCATTCGATCCGTCTTAAAAAGCTCTATCGACTGATTATGATATCTCATGGTTTGAGGGAAAAGCTGAGATGTAAGCTGGAAAAGTCAATGACGTCATCCATGTTGATCGAAACTCTTGAAGCCCTATATCATTGGAAAGCTGATAATGAGACGAATCGATTGATATGATTCGTTTCTTTGTAACTTTGAAATGAACGGAGTTATGAGGCCTGAAAGCCCGAAAAATACAATTTTTTCGGACCTCTTTTTCCGCCAATTTTTGAGCTTTTCCCTCGAAACGGATATGATAACAGTACCATATGGAAGCTGCTCTATCGATTACAACAGAAAAAACTTAAAAAATATCAACTTTTTTTTGAGCTTTTCCTTTTTCGCGAGGAAACCACACCGATGAGAGCCTCAGACTGACACTTGACCCGACGCGCTGTTTCAGACAACTTATTAGATCTGACGCGCATTTTTTTATTTTTTTAAGACAAACTTTAAAGGCTTATATCTTTGCGCAACTACAGGTAATCCAAGTATATCAATGGATTCGTCTCTAGGCCAGCTTTCCATTGATGTAGGTTATCAGGATATCAAGCTTCATCCAGAAGCTCCAGTCTTGCCTCAGCTGGTAACTCGACTTTATGATAAGTTATCACATGTTGAGATACATCATTCGATTCTGTCTCGGGACGCTCTATCGACTGGTAATGATGTCACATGGTTAGAGAGAAAAGCTGAGATCTAATCAAACATAGGAATGAAAAATTTTTCAAATTCCGTCAGAACTAGTATCAATCGATAGAGGAGATCATGAGCATTAAGAAAAACTAGGTTTCTAAGTTCCTAACCTTCTAGGAATCAAGCTATGATTTTTCAAACAAAGTTGATCATCTTTAAAAAATCATATCTTTGTTCCTAGGCACCCTAGAACTTTCTGATCTGGATATTCGGACTTCTGAAGTCATTTCCTATCGATTGATCTGAAAATCTAGGAAACTTTGGATTTCGGGAAAATGGAAAAAAGTACAGTCTAACCCCTTCAGTTTTTTTCGAGCTTCTGAGGTCATGGAAGCCGATCCGGACGAAACCTATACCAATCGATAGATCACGACGAAAAAATAACCTGAGGCCGGGTTTGACCTCCGTAGGTCAACTAGGAACTGAGCTAGAGGCGATCAAACTTGGAGATCGAAAGATGGAAAGTAGGTCAAATCTGGTATCAATCGATAGAGGAGATCAAGGAGATCAAGAAAAACTAGGTCTCAAAGTTCATAACCTTCTAGGAATCGAGTTATGATTTTTCAAAAACTTCAAAAAAGCATATCTTTTTTTCTATGCTCCCTAGAACTCCCTAGAACTGATCTATGCTTCCTAGAACTTTCTGACATGGATTTCCGTGCGTCTGACGTCATTTCCTATCGATTGATAGTATCTCTAATTATTCACCTGCTTCTTTAACCATGTCCGGGTAGTCCCATCCGACGGATCCAGGCTTGCTGAACTTGGTCATTCCAACTCCAATGACGTATGCCTTCGGCTTCACCATTTTGTCTTAGAATTGAAATTTAAGGACTTCCTGGAAAATAACCGTGCATTTTTCATATTGAAACAAGGAAAAGACATGAAAAAATTGAACTGAAATTCGAAATTCGAATCATTTCGCAGAAAAACCAGAGCGAAAAGGGCCTGAAGAAGTGGAAATGAGGATCAAAACGAGTATTTTCCGTGTTCATTCCAAACTACGGCGTGGCTGATAGCGGCTGATAAGGCTACGGAGTAGTCGCCCCACTGAGAATCTAGCCTTTTTTTGGTCGAAAAACAGGAGTTTTGATCGGGGGAGAAAAAGTTGGAATTTTCGGTTTTGTGAGGAAATTTTTAGGAAAAAGGCCGTTTTTTTAAAGAATTAAATATTTTCGATCGCAAAACTTTGATAAATCGAAAAATAAATAAATACATTGAACAGCACTCAGAGAAACTTCGAAATTGGCACTCTGGGCCCGTCAAAAAGGTCTCAATTTGAAATGGCTGTGCGGCGCGGTCGCGTTGCGGTTCGAACTGGAAATTCTGTGGATCTCTTTTTTTCAATATATTCTACCCTGAATCAACATTCCAACTATCTAATCGTGTTTATATTGAACAATAGTTGTCTTTTTAACATCAAAAAAATAGAAATTACTATATATTGAAACGAGCAAATCTTGAAAAATGGCAATCATCAAACTACAATTATGTGAAAAATATAGGAAAAAGAGGGGTTGGTTTTTAATTGCAGTCAATTTATGGGTTCACTGGAGTAAATATTCCAATTTAAGAAGAAAATATGAAAAAGAGAAATTTTGCTACGATAAACATACATTGGTAACGGACGTGTCGGAGCATTTCTAGTGGCCGCTTTAGTAGCGTCAGCCCTCTTAAGTGATCCCTAGAATCGCTCAGGAATTGGTTACTATAACGAGACACGACTCGGGTTCGTCGAGCTTTCTAGTGGCCGCTTTAGTAGCGTCAGCCCTCTTAAGTGATCCCTAGAATGGCTCGGAAACGTCCGGAGCATGTCCGTCTACAGATACATCATAAATAAATAGAATTATCAGTGGAGCGCAAAAGACATCAAAAAAAAATTGGCTTTTTTCGGGGTTTCTAGCTTTTCTTAACATACCATAGCTATCAAAAATGTTATTAAATATATATTTTGGGGATCTAAAAAGAGAAAAAGGAAGATTCTCAAGCAAGGTCGGCAATTTCTTTGGCTTTATCGTTCTGATTGGTGGCTCCGCTGACGCTGACGACCGCATCGACGACGGCGTTCTGCTTGCGGCATGTCAACTTGCTCCAGTAGCCGAGGAGTCCTTTTCTGACAAAACAAACTATGTAGCTCAGTAGGTTGCTTGCTAGGATGTGGTTAAAAAAAGGTCTCGAGTTCAACACCTCCCCAGGGAAAAATCAGGAAAAACTTCAAAAAAATTGATGAAAGGAGTTGGTCGCATGACTTGAATGGCTTGAAGCACAATCTTCAAGTCGGACTTCAAAAAAAAGGTGAAGAAAGGTTTCCTTATGGTACTGTTCAGGGCCCATTTATGAGCCTGTACTGACCCTTTTTCAAGTTTGATGATATTAGAAACAAAACGGGGTTATTTTAAGCTACTTTTTCGTCGGCAATCTTTAAGTAGGTATACAAAAAAGGTGAAGAAAAGTTTCATTATAGAACTGTTCAGGGCCCATTTATGAGCCTGTACTGACCCTTTTTGCACCCTTTCTCAAGCTTGATATTAGAAACAAAACGGGGTTATTTTAAGCGACTTTTTCGTCGGCAATCTTCAAGTAGGTATACAGAAAAGGTGAAGAAAAGTTTCATTATGGAACTGTTCAGCGCCCATTTATGAGCCTGCATTGACCCTTTTTGCACCCTTTTCGATATCGGGCGCAAAATGGAACCTTTTCAGCAACTTTTTTGCACCCTTTTCTAGGATCTCCGACACTGCTAGAGTGCGCCTTCATCCGAAGACCATTCCCCACCCAAATTTCGAATATTTGGCTCAAACCGAGCCATTCCAAGTGCGACCCACAAACCTGTAAGGAGCGATGAAGTAGAGGGAAACGAGAGGGCTGCACGTCGGGAAGCAATCCATCAGCCGGAACGTAATATTCTCCAGAAAAGGGCCGCTGGGGATGAGTTTGAACTCGACGGACGTGAAGATGGCCGAGGCGATGAGCCAGAAAATCGGGATCATGGCTTGGATCGTCAAGGCTTTGATCATCTTCTTGTGGGACTTCCTGGTGGCCTCACTCATTTCCAGCGCGTTTCCACCCAGGATTTTCAAAGTCTGGAAGTTTCGCGTGAACTTTTGAGGTTAATTAAATGAGACCTGATGACGGTAATGGTGAATCGCAGCGTAGATTGGGACGCATGGGAAAGTCATGTAGAGGATTGTGAAACTGGTGGCAAACGATAGAATTGTAGTGTTCCCTGCTGACGGTCAGAACTGAATTTTTTTGGTTTTTTTCTAGTTCTTGTAATTAGATTTTACTGTTGGAAGGCACATATACCCCTTCTGAAAGTTGAAAAAAAAACAGCTTTTCTAGAGTTCAGACTCCGTTTTGACTGCGAAAGCTTCAGGTAGCTTTTTTAATAAAATTCGAGCGGTTCTGAACCTCTTACCAAGGGGAAAAATCCCAGAAGTTTTAGAAAAAGATTCGAAAAAAAAAACGGAAACTATAACCAAACAATTTTCAACTACTATAGATCTCCATGGAGCGCAGAAGCTTCCGTGAGAATTTTAGCATGAAGAATATTTCCGAATCTCAAAAAAAGATTCGAAAAAGCCTTGGAAAAAAATGGATAAACTATAAAAAAATTAACCACTTTCCAGGGTTCCTTTCCAACTTCAAAAACTAAACTTCCATCTATGAGACCTTCTAAAAGCTGGGGATCTCACAAAAGTTCGAAAATTGCAGGATCGTTTTGGAAAAATGGATAAACTTGAAATTTAGCATTTTCTAGGGTTCCTTTTTAACTTCAAAAACCAAACTTTCATCTATCAGGTCTTCTAAAAAGCTGAAAAATTCAGAGCTTTTTGTTAAAAAAAGATAATGTAACGAGAGCCACATCCAAGTTTCCTAATTTATTTTTCTAAAAGTGTGAAAAATTTGTCCTCTCGTGTAAGCACCAAGGCTAGCTTCTCAGACTTTTCATACATGGACAGATAGTTTTTGGAAGCCGCCGACCGTTCCTCCCACTTATTTGTTACCCCCTGAGGTTAAAATTGTTCTCATTATTGCCAAGACCACCTCTCTGAGCTTAAAAAATCATTTTTTTATTATTTTTGATTAATTCTTGTGAGCCTACGTTCTAAAAAGTTCTGCACTTGCCCATGTATGCTTTTTCCCTACTTTTTCCCAAAACTTTACCTCCCCAGATGCTCTCATCCTCATAGTGATACTCCGGATGGAGCCGGTACATGATCTGCTTCAGCTCATTGCTGTCGCCGACGTCAAACGAGTACAGGATCTACAACCCAAATTCGATTTTCAACTAATTCCTTAATATTTTACAAGGATGAAGAATGAGAACGAGTAGAAAATGAGAGTCAGGGCGACGACTTGCTTCACTGTCGGCTGCTCTTTGACCAGGATACGGTAGCGGTAGTAGAAAGAGGTCTGGAAGCTTGTTTTCGCCCGACCCAAAACGACTTGCGCTCTGATTTATCGAAAAGCGCGGGACTGGTCAGTTTTTCACGCTGATTCCGAATTTGTGCTTCAAAAGTTCCTTTGAGTGAAAATTTTCGCAACTGAGGATTGAAAAAAAATCGTTTGAACTTTTCCTTGTAAGGCAGGGAGGTTCTAGGTCCCAAAAAAACAGGAAACAATTGTGGTATGAAAAACCAGCGAAAAATTCAAACGGCGACTATTCCGATTTTTCATATCTCTGGTGTTTTTCATACCACCGAAAAAGTGAATTGTTTGACACAAAATTCAAAATTTCCTAGTTTTTCACATGCTTGACACATTATAGCGGCCTTAAATGTACCGGTTCAATTTTTCAAACTTTTAGAGTTCATAACTCTTTCTAAGGGTCTTATCGTCATTTTCCAAGCACAAAATCGGAATCCCCGAAAGAAACTGAATCAGATGCATTTTTTCACGTTCAAACATCCGCGACGCTTCAAGCCATTCCCGATGCGACCCCCTTTCTGGCCGAAACTCACAATCAGGATCCATTGAGAATGGGCCATGGCGTGACAAACGAAGCAGTGGCAGAAGTAGCAGAAAAACGGGGATATATATCGGCAAGGGCCGTGGAAGATGTAGGTCAGAGCCAAATCCGAGAAAATCGTTCTTGAAAAAGGTGTGGAATCGAGGAAGGAAGGATAATATTTTCAGACTTTTGACAGGCGAAGAAGGAAGCGATGCAGGTGAGGAGGTCGAAGAGGGCGAAGTTGAAGAGCAGGACGGCGTAACTTCTCATCGGCTTCGGCGTGTGGGTCAAGATCAGGGTGATCAGGGTGCCGTTGAGAATCACCCCTTAAATTTCGATATCGGTCCGAGAAAATTCTATCAAAAAACTATTTTACGATTTTTTGAGTACATCTCTCCGCTTGACACAGTAGTGATCTCGATCTTTTTAGGAAAAAAGAAAATTTCAAACAAAAAAAGTTGAACTTTTTCAGTACGGCACTCCGCTTGGACGCTTCGAAATGACGTCACTTTTCAATAAAAAAATTTTATATTTTCCATTTTTAGCTTCAAAGTTAAGTAACAAGCTTGAAAAAGCCAAGAGACTCATTGATTTTCAAGTTAGATCTTCCGCTCAAACTATTCGCACTGTTCTCCTCAACTGATGGAAAAAAACCTCAAAAAGTTATATCAATCAGTACGACACTCCGCTTGACGTTTTGAATGACGTCACGCAAAAATTTACATTTTCCATTTGTAAGCTTCAAAACTGAGTCACCAGCTTGAAAAAAAGTCACAGAATAAAAAAATGTTTTGAACTTATAATTGATATTTTCTTTGTAAACTAATCACAATGATGTCAAGCTCTTATAAGAAAATTGACTTTTTTTCAGTACGACACACCGCTTGGACGCTTCGGAATGACGTCACTTTTTGATAAAAAATTCCATATTTTTTATATTTTTAAGTTCCAAAATTGAGTCACTAGCTTCACAAGCGTGACAGAAAAACATTATTTGAACTTCTAATAAAAATATTTTTTTGTAAACTAATCACAATGATGTCATCCTTTAAAAAAATGAGAAAAATTGTCTTTTTCAGTACGACACTACGCTCGGACGCTTCGGAATGACGTCACCTTTTTATAAAAAAATATTGAAACTTTTTGAGTCATTGTGGAAAAAAATCTACAACTTTCTATAAAAATCAGTTTTTCAATGTCGCTCGAATAAAAAATCCATCCAATGAACCAACTAGAATCCAACCAGTCAAAGTACAAAAAAACTACTTCGCTTTTTTCTTGCATCTGTATAAAAACTACAATTTTTTTGTGGTTTGGATTTTCGACACAGATCTTGTGATAGTCTGAAGAGAAGATCCAAGAAGTCATATCTTAAAAAAATGGCTCTTTTGAGTTTCTGGAATTTTAGCTGTTGAGCGTAGGATTTCAAAATTAAGCTGCTGTTTTTGGAGGCTATTTTTGCGATAATTCTGAACTTGTAAAAGTCCGTTCTAGGCTAATTTTGCAGTGTGAAGCCTAATTTTCAAGGCTAATTTTAAGCCCTTTATCAAAATTACGCGAGAAACTCAAAAATTCATAAATTTCGGTCATTTTCAAGCCTTTTTGGCCGTTTAAAAAATTAGTCGTGGGCCGAAAAATTCAGCGCTTTTTCCAGCTCTGTTCAAAGAAAATTCTGAATTTTCCTGTCATTATCAGGGCTATTTTCGGGCTTCTTTCAAATTCAGAAAATCAGACGTGAGGGCGAGTTTATTTCCTGTTGTTTTTTTTTCAAGGCCAGGTTATGTTTCAGCTCAGTTTTATTAATATTCGACTATTCTCGCCATAATTTCAAGTTTGACGGAATCAAGTTTGACGGAATTATGACAAAATATAAATTCAAAAAAATTCATTTTGTAAATTTCATTTGATTGGCAGAAACGATTCTTTCTTCTTAGTTAAAAAATACTTTTTGAGCTTGAGGGGGGCCTGGCTGTCGCCAGTCATGCTTATCACATGTATGTTTTGTGCTGAAACTTCAAATTTTTAACTCAGGAAAATCTAACTTTTCGATTTCTCAATGACAATTTTTCCTTGTAAATGAAATAAATGATCATTTTTTAACTCTGAAACTAACCAGTAGTGCAGAGAATCTCGGAAAGGACCTCGCCCAGGTCGTCCATCATGAAGGTGTACTGTAGGTCGATCTCGAGCTCGTCGGCCCTCGAGCCGACGATGGCCGTTCGGTTGAGCGCCATTGCCGCAGACGTTGTCGCCGCGCAGACCACCCAGCCATTTAAATACCCTCTCCTCCGAGTCTCTCACGTGCCGCCCGCTACAAATCACTGAAAAAGAGTACAATTAACCTTCTCCTTTGTGTGATTGAAATCCCCCCAGTGCTACGGTCGTGTTGGGCAAGATAACAAAGAAAATTTCCGAAGAAAATAAGAAAAAAAATGGCTTTATTGTCTGAAGATTCCTTTGTTTGAATTGAATTGTGGGAGGCCTTGAGGAGCCTTTTTTTTCTTCAATCTTCTGGAGGATCAAATATCTTGCTTTGCACTACTTTAGTATGAAATTCCAGAATTTTAGAAGAGAAATGAAGACCTTGAAGATCAAAGTCTAACATTGAAATAAAGGTCGATAAAAGTATTGGATTTTAGTGGTTCGGTCACACGGATGCTACAGATCTATCAACTTATAAAAAGCATAAAAAAATACTTGAAAAAAATCTTTCTCAACGAGATTCCGCTAGAACACTCCAAAATGACGTCACCATCAGGAGAACCTTCAAAATTACGATGTTCCGCTTTGTCGATCTCCATATTTTTCAAAAAAACTTAGAGCCTCCAACTACTCAGAAAACATGGCATAAATGGAAAACCTCTAAAAGCTGAAAAATAAAAGAATAATGAGAAAATGAATAGAACTCTCTAGAAGGCTAGTCAAAAATAAGTAGATGAATTATCATCGTGTGAAAAATGTGAAGTATAAAAAAAGTTGGACTTTATTTTCGTCAATGGGAACGCCTAAAGCTCAGACACCGTGTGAAATTACTTTTTGGGGCTCTTGAAGATCAGAAAAAAAAGCATTAAGTCTGATGATAAGTGGAAAAATAGCCTCGATAAGGGAGGAAAAAATGCGCATATATGCGTAATTGTTTAGAAAAACCTGAAGAGGTTTAAAAAAATCATTTGTTGGCTCGCTTCCAAGATAACCTATTTTTGGTTCAGACCTCTTGGTAAATGATTCCAAGCCCTACTTAGGGATTCCACAGTAGTCCCTGTAGGGGTTAGGAAGAAAAAAGTGGCCCCTCCAGGGGTTAAATCAAAGTGGTCCCTATAAGTGTTCAGGGTCTCACTCCTCAGCCGCTTAAGCTCAAGTGGTCCCTTTAGGGGGTCCTACCATTTTATTCAAAAAAACGTTTATTTATTCAATTTTTCCCATGGAAATTCTTCCTCGCTTAGAGTTCAAACAACTATCGACGAGAATTTCCCTATAAGGGCCACAAAATGGCGTATAGGAATCACTTCTGCAAGCTTTAGTGGCCCCTATAGGAGTTGGTAAAGTGGTCCCTAGAGGATACCCCTCAAAAAGCCCCTAAGGTTGCCCTTATAGGACCACTTTGGAGTTCCTAAGTCCATTTTGCTTAAAAAAATCTCAAATTTTGTAGGTGAGCCTAAGTGGGAGCATGTACAAAGAGGTCGGAGAAGTTATTCGTTTTCTGTGATCGCGATAACACGGTGGGTCAGTGGTTAGCGATTTCGCTTGACAATCTCATGACCAAAGTTCAGATCCTCTCAAGGAATTTACATTTTGCTGCTCATTTTAATTGGATTATTTGAACTAAAAAAATGGTGAACAAATAAAAAAATGAAGTATAGATAACAAAAAAACTGGTTTTTGAAGCTTTTCGATACTTTTTTTCTCTGTTTTTTTCGACCTGTTCCATCTTTTTTTCTATGCATTTTTTTGTCGTCTTACTGTAGGCTTAAAAAACCTTCAACTCCAATATGACACATAACCAGTACCAGTTGCACTTTTTTGCCTCCTAGACATTCGACTTTTTATTTGTACCCTTAAACACCAGGATACGTCTTACTCTTTTCTCTGTTCCAATGGTTAAGCTTTTTCCACAAAGATCTAGAAGGATAAAGGAAGAAAAATAACAAGTAAGCAGACAGACGAAAAGTCTATTTTCAAAGAGTCCAGAGTGCGTTTTGGAGCACAAACGGAAATGTGAAAGAGAAAAAATATACGTAGGCTTCTAAGAAGTTTGAGTTAGATCATGTCTGTGAGTTGGTAAGTGGGAAAAAAACTTTTTTTAGGGGCTGACTAAAAATTTTTTTCAAAAATTTATTTTTGGGTTATTTCGAGCCTACTACTCGAAACTGAGAGCTAATAAGACTTTAGAGGGGAACTGAGAAAAAAATCCTTGAAAAAATAGAAATTTGAGATAAAGTAAGGATTTTTCAGAGAAAGTCTAGTGGCTAGCGTGCTCGGCTGGCAATCTTGATACCAAAGTTCGAGTCCTCTTGGGGGATCCTTTTTTTGCAGTTTTTTAAAAAGTCCTGTAGTACTGGGAAAAGCCGATTTGGGTCCTGGAGAGAGAAAAAAACCCCCTACGGAGGTATACTAAAGGACCATCTTCTGGGCCGTCTATAAGACCCTTAATTGGTCATTTAGGAACCACTATAGGGATTTTTGCAGGAAATGGCTACCAACGTGATTATAAAGATCAAACTTTAACTCGAAACTTTCCAAAGCTTTCTTTTTATTCCCAAAAACCACTAACTAGGGAACGTTTTTACCCCCCTTCCGGTTGAACTTTTTGCTGAAACTTTGCTGAAGTGTACTTTTAGGACCTCCTGATTCCAGAACAGAAAGAAAAATTCCTCGCAATAGATCTCGTTTTTGGAGTTAGGACACTTCAAAAACGTTCCCTGGTAAAAAGCTTCAAATTTCTCTAATTTTTTTCGATCTTTACGCTCCTAAATCCTATTATTTGAACCTCCATGCCTGTGTTCGCCATCATGCGGTAAAAAATTAAATTATTCTCAATTCAATTGAAAAAAATAATGAACTTTTTGGTCAGGTTTTGGTTCCATTGCTATTTTTAAAAAGGCTTTTCGGACTTCTCTGCCTTTTTTTCTTTCTTTTTGATATGTCAGAACCTTTGATAAATGATATTTTTTTGCAGTGGACCTTCTCAAATATCTAATCAGACTTGAAGAAAAAAACATAATTATAGCTTGGGACTGACAAAGTTTTCAGTGTCCTAAAAAAAGCCGTTTCGCCTCATTTTTCGTCTTTTTTTCAAATTGTCTCTGTCAATTTTATAAAAATAATACCTTAAATTCTATCTGAGCTCACTCTGAGCTTGATAAAAAAATTTTTTTGAAAAAGTCGATTTTTAATAATATTCTTTGCGCCAACTTCATTAAGACCACTTGGAAATTTTTCATATTTTACCTTTTTAGTCGATTCTTTGCTTTTCGAGAGATGGGCCCAGTTTTTCGTTTAAAAAATGATTTTCGGTTTCCAACCTGCAAGCCCTGATTATTATCGTTTTTTTGCTTACCTTTTGAACTAGCAAACTTTTTAGAAAAAAATCTTCCAAAGTGTTAGGAATTATAGCATTGAAAAAATTCAAGATAAATTACTGACATTGACTTTCATACAAGTTTCATTTTTTCAAAACTTGAACGCCTCAAAAGAACTTATATGAGTCATTACTCGCAAAAGAGAAGCTTTGAAATTTTTTTATGGTACTATACTCCGCTTGGTCGCTTTCATTAGAGCGTCATAGCTTCCAAAAACTAAAAAATATATGTGGAAATGTATTTTTAGCGTAATATTTCTCGAAAGAGCTTTTTTTAGACTCCTAGAAGATGGAAATGGTATTTCTAAAAAAATCCAAATTCTATCATTATTTTCATTTTTTTCGTCCAATTGAAACGTTGCAGAAAAAGCCTTCAAAAAAACACTCTTCTGACGATAAAATTTTCAATTTCCTGGCCAGCTTTTTTAAAAAATACAACATTCCTATCAAACGCTGTGAATTCTAAAAACCCAAATGGCCCAAATTTTAATTTTCTCCTTTTCTTGAATTGAAAATGACAGGAAATCTTATAAAATTCTACAAATTAATGTTTTTTTCGAGTGTGGGACGAAAAATTGAGCGCCAGTCCGTAATACATCGTCGCGTAGCAGACGCCGCTTTCTGTTGTTCCGATTCCGTTTGCGCTAATTTTTTGAACTTTTTTTTTCGCTTTTATTCTATGCTTGATGACCGATTGTAGTAAACATTCATATACGACTCGATGATTTTCGCATCTCTCAATATTGATTTTTCTGCCATATTTTCGAAAAAATCAATATTGAGACGCGAAAATTATTCGAGTCATATATGAATGTGTACTAAACAATTGATGATCAATGATAAAAAAAGCGAAAAAGTTCAAAATAGTGTCGCAGAACGATTCGTCGCAACAGAAAGCGGCGTCTGCATACACGCGACGGCGCATTGCGGACTGTTTCTCTTGTCCTTCTCTTTTTCTTTTCTATAACTAACCTTATTCTAAGCTTTTTCTTGTCACTCGAAACACAATGAATTTCTCCAAAAGTCGTTATCATTTTCGAAGTATAAATCATTTATTTTTATAGAAATTCGTCTATTTTCAAGCTTCTCCTCCCACTCAAACCTACAGGAAACCCTTTCCGTGACGTCCAACTTTTCCATTTCCTGCCAAACTCTCTGTTTTTGTTTTTATTTACATTTTCAGGCGGAAATGTTGACGAAAAGTCCAAACAGCGCTTCATAAAAGGAGCAAAACGAAAGAAATCCAAGCCGATCTCATTTATTTTATACTCATTGCGGAACGAGAAAAGGAGGGTAAAAAAACCTAATTCCGCCGGAGGCCAATAGGTTAAGCCCTGGCGTATTCCAATTCATTCATTCGACCCGAAAATATGGATACGGCCAACTGCGGAGATGTGAGTTTCTTTTTTTCTATACGGATTTTTGAAAATTTCTCTCCTTTGATTAACTTTTCTCAACCGAAACCCTCTCAAATGAAAAATTTAGAGTTTAGAAAATTGGAAATTCTAATCTTTAAAACGAGCCTTTTGCCTAGGGGGCGCAAAAGCCCCGCCCCTTCACGCCACCAAAATGACGATTTTTGTTGCAAAAACGGTTTTGAGGCGTTTTTACTAGCTAAAGTCCCATTTTATAAATGAACTGTTTCTGTTAATCTATGTAACCGACAACGCTCTACAAGACGGAATATTTTAAAAAAACTATGTATTTTTTTCAAAAAAATAAGCGAAAAAGTAAGATTTAACACGAAAAAAACTGACAAGTTTCACAAAAATCGTCGCGTTTCAGAAAAATTAAGTGAGGAACGCTTCTAAATTTTAAGTATGTTATACATTAACACTTTCTTTATTTTTTTGAGTGAAAATGAAAAATCTACCGACGCGAAAAATATTAAAGCTTGTAAAGTGACACCAAACTTTGAAGCTGAAATGCGAAAAAAATTTCAGCGACGAGGTATACTTTTTATTTGATTTAAAAACTCACAATGTGCTCACAAACAAAAAAATTCAAAAATGAAAAATAATTATTGGGACAGCGAATCAAATTATATTTGAGTTTTACCAAAACCTCCTTTTTCGCCTGCCTCGTTGACGCATGAGAGAATAGGATCGCGTCTATATTTTTTTGCTTATGTTATTAAGCGTTCAAAAACTCTACCAATGAAAAATTATGAAAAATCGATCGACGCGAAAAAAATAACGGCTTTGAAAAACCCTCGAAAAAAATGGCAATTTTTGAAATTTCGGAAGATTTCGTGCAAGCGTCCGTAGCTGTGTTTGCGTCAAACACACCGATACGCCATTTTAAATGTCGCAGGAGCCGTTTTTCGGAGTCAAATTGCACTTTTTTTCCTGTTTTATTTCGAAATAACATTATTTTTTTCATTTTTCTTTTTTTCCAAACCAAATGATAATAATTTTTTTCTGATTAGAAAAAAAGAAAAAAATAAGCTGAAAAATTCCTTGTGACCTTTTTCTAAGTAGTTTTTTTGATATTTTATCAAAAAAATTCTGATGATAGTTATGCGAATGATTCATGCCAAAAACATAAAGATCAGTTCTGACAACCTCTCAGAACAGAAAACCGATTTAAAAACGGTTCAGAAATGCGCAAAAACATTTAAAAAGAAAGCGTGCGGCAGCGGGTAAACCGTGAGATTTTGCCTCCAGTTGAACGCCGCGCGCGCTAGTTTTTTGGCCGTAACTTTTTTCTTATTGGAGCTTTTTTCTAAAACTAAACGGATTATGAAAATGGACAGTCTCCTCTATTGAACAGTGTAAAAAAACATATTTTTTGGATCGTTTTGAAGAAATGGCTTGCGGACCCTACCTTTGCCTTCGAGGGATGATCTTTTGACTAGCTAAAATTTTTTTCTAAGTTGATATGAAAAATCCTCGAACTTCAGTAAATCGAAAAACGCTCATTTTGAAGCATTCTTGCTCAAAGAAATGAATAATATCCTTGAAAAAAATTTACAGGACGTTTTTTGACCAAAAACAACACAAAAAAAACGGACGTTTCCCATATTTTTCAACTCACCAGGGAACGTTTTTTACCCCCATCCGTCGAACTTTTGCTGAAACATTGCTGAAGTGTACTTTAGGACCCCCTGATTGCAAATCAAGAAAAAAAAATTCTCGCAGTAGATCTTGTCAGGGCATCCTAAAGGACACTTCACCGAAGTTTCAGCAAAAGTTCATCCGGGGGGTAAAAAACGTTCCCTAGTCAGAAAAAAAAAAACTATCACTTTTAAAACCTCAATATTAAACTCGGGCAAAGTCGGAAAGGTGTATATTGGCCGCTAAAAGAGAGAGGTTCAAAAAAGGCCGCAAAAAGAGGCCCTTTATCGAACCTTCCATCTTTTTGAACTTCAAAGGCTTAAGAAATGGTGGAAAAGGGAGAGGCATCAAAACGGGAGCATTTTCCACCCATCCGACTTTGTCAATGAAATTATATTCAAAATTTCAGATTCCTCTGAAAATCTAAAAGATTTTTGTTGCGAAAAGCCGTTTTTCCCGGCCTCTCATTAGATTTTACGAGATACTTGCCTTTTATCCGACTCTTGGATATTACCACTACATTCAGTGCAGTAATTCCTTCTGTTTTTCAAATAAGCTACTGAATGAAATCAAAAAAACACCTTTTCTCTTTGAAAAAAAATCCCACAGGGAGGTCATTTTTCTTTGCAATTTCTTAAAAATTGGCCAGAACCTTCTTTGATGTACCAGATGAAGATTCTGAAAGTCTCAACCTGCACCACTTCCTAATTTTTTGAGAAAAAAGGGCTTAAAACTCCAAATTTCAAAACTCCAGTTTTCTTTGATTTTAAAGCTTCTTTTCCCAAAAACGAGGAAGTTGTGCAGTTTGATCCTTCCAGAATCTTCTTCTGGTACATCAAGGACCGTTGTGGCCAGTTTTCATAAAAATCCGCAAAGTAAAATCACCTCCCCTGTCAGAGCCCCTAAAGTGACAACTTTCAGGCCTATCTAATCACCTATCATCCGTTATATCGATGGGTCCAAGTTTGGCGGATGTGCGTCAGTTGGGCGGCTCTACCCATTTTGGTGCATTTCGTAACAAGAAAGTTGATTTCTACTGCCTTCCATGCGAATATTAAGGTATTCAACTTTATTTTATAGTATTTAGAAGTTCAATATTTCAGATTCTATTGGTGTCATATTTCGGCAACGCGATATTATGTACAACTTTTCAGTGTTTTATGTTTGTAAGTTTCTTGATTAAAAATATTGAAATTACACAGTTTTGCTAACAAGGGAGGCCATTATACTTTGGGGTTGGGAATTTCCTAAAAAAAGAAAAGTTCCTTAATGTACCTAGTATGAAGTCTAAAAGTTTCAACTTGCTCAGCTTCCTAGATTTCGAGAAATAATGTCTCAAAATGGCCTGTTTTCTCGGATTTTTATGATTTCCTTTGACCTTAAAGTTTCTTTTCTGGACAACTAAAAATTCGTGCAGGCTGGAATTTTCAGAATCTTCATCAGGTACATCAAGGAGCATTCTGGCTAGTTTTCCGAAAAATCCCAACCGCAAAGTTAAATTACCCTTCTACTGGGAGCTTCTTGAACTAAATACCTTAGAATTCCTTGTAACTTCCTCAAAACAAGCTTGCACAAAAAGACACCAAAAAGTGACCAATTTGGGCATTCCAGACAATGTTTTTTTCTGACAGATCATTTCAGACCTACGCGTCACTTATCCCATTCATTGTCACGGATCCATGCGAGCTCCTAATCCCACGAACTTTATTCATTATCATCCACGTACCTCTTCTCTACGGTGTTTTCGGGTCTTCATTCATTATGATCGGGATGATGATCGAAAGGATTGTCGCCTTGGTTTATCATAGGGATTACGAGAGTTGGAGGACCTTACTGGGTCCTTTTTTGGCTGCTGCAGCGGTGGGTTTTTATTTTGGAAAAAAAGCATGTGCGCGCCATGGATAAAAATGTCACTTTTCTCGAGAAATCCTTGAAAAAAGCCGTTTAAAATAAGTTTTTTTGACTACGCCCCGCCCATATTTAGTCCGTAAAGTGTATTGCGTCGTGTGTTTACACTGCAATTTTCGGAATTCAGTTAAATTTTTCTTTCTCTGGCGGCTATTTTGAACTTCGCGGAATCACTTTGAAAACCAAAATTGAAAAAAAAAGAGAAATCGATTCGTCTCATGACCCATTGAACATGCGCCTTTAATATCCCCTGTTGTTTACGCTGGTTTTTCATGACGTCACATGGGAACGGCGGTGGTTATGACTCCGCCCCCTTCATTTTTGGTTTTGCATTTTCTTCAAGTATCAAAAACGCCGTGATAAAAAGTTATGCGCTATCAAGAGATTTCGACCAAAAAAATTCAAAAAAGCTTGGCTGGAAATACAAAGACTTTGTTTGCTCTATGGACAAAAAATATTTTTTTTGGAAAAAAATGGAAAAAGGGATGATCCAAGAACGAAAACCTATTTACAGACTTCCTGTGGAATATTAATAACTGTTTATCCCTATCACAACGAACAATTCACTGCAAAGCAAGTTTCCTTCATTGCCACGCCGGGTTCGGCAGCAGAAAAGGTTTTTTTTCGAATATTTTTGGTCGCACTTGGAATGGCTCGATAGGATCCCTTAGTGAGAACCGTCCAGACCATTCCAAATGTGGCCAAAGAGTTCTCTGTTCAAATTAAATTTATTTTGATTCAGATAAATATAATCTTCATACTCAGTGTCTGTGTGGGTGTCGTCAGTTTGATTGGGAACTTGTTTTTATTTTTCGCAACTCGGAAATTTGAGAAAGAGTGAGATTTTCTTCATTAAACAAGTCCCGTAAAAAAACTTTGCCTAAAAAATCACATTTTTTGAAATTAAACGCAGATTTTTTTCTACATGTAACAAGCAACGTTCCAGCAGATTAAGCCCAAAAATTTAATTCAAAGTAAACATAGTTTCAGTTTAAAAAAATAAACATAAACAGTGAAAAAAATAACTTACGAAAAAAACCGCCAAAGTTTTCGAATCGAAAAATCCAATCCTTGATGGAAACTTGATGATATCATAGTCATCAACCTCTTCATTTTGCTTTCCCTTGATTCCTGAAAAAAATATAACTTGATTTCAACGCTATATCTCTTTCTCAAAAATGCTATAAGAACTGAAAAAAACTAATATTCAATGATTTTATACTTTCAATAAATTCAGAAGGAATTTTCGTTGAAAAATCTCAACTCTTTTACTCAAAACGAGCTTTTATGCTGCAAAAACCAATGGAGCTTTTTAAAAATACTACCTTGAGAAACTTAAAACAGAAAATAACTGAAAAAACCACATTGAAAAATAGCGAAAAAGAAAAATAAAAAAACGAAGTGAATAAAAAAATAAATTATGTTGATCGAACTCTGGGTCTCGAGCGGAGACACTGCAATTTGGCAGAGCAACTTGCGCCTTTAATAAGGAAATCGCTTGTTCTCAGGCACTGGCGCGCGAGAGCGCGCTCCTGTTGCAGGGACGACCGGGGGTCTGGCGGGGACGACCGGGTTGTCACTCGAATTTAAGGCCTTCGCTTCAAAGAAGCGAACAAAAAAACGCATAATTTTATGTGAAAAAAAGAGGTTTATTTTTTTGGAGTTCTATCCCTGATCACACAGAAATGGTTTCCAAACACAATTAAAGTTTTTTTAAATAGGTTCAGGATGAGTTATGCTGGAAATCGAGTTAGAATTTTTGTGGCTGTAGGTTTTCAAATGCGGAATTAACCGCATTCTGTCAAACAATTAATATATGATTCTCCGTTCTTGTTTTATTTCCCATATTTGTGGAAAAAATCATGATTAAATCAAACAAAAAAACAACTTCAATTTTAATTCTCAAAAATAGTTGAAGTTTTAATCATTAGGATTTATATGTATGCATCAGGCTGTGAGGCCTGATCCGGGCCAGGCTTGTGCGTCAGACCGGGCTTCGGGCCTTTTTGATAAAAGCCTGCAGGGGTTTAAAAAAATTTTTAATTTCAATAAAAAAACATTTTAACCGTTTTGCTTTTAAGCCTTCCTGCGTCCGGGCCGTGCTTAGATAATGGTCGGGGGCCGATAGGCTGACTTTTTTACTTGCTTCTGTTTTTTATTGGGATCTGAGTCAAAAAATAACCGAAAGCGTGATTTTTTTCTAATAGATAAGTCCGACATTCGAGTTGCAGAAAATTTGCGCCTTTTGGGCCGGGCCGACCGATTTTGCTCGAGGCCCGCTAAGACCTGGTCTGGCTCAGAAAATGGCCGGGGTCGTTGGACTGACGTGCTGGCCCTCGCACAAGCTAGCGAGTAGTCTATTGAAGGGTCTGAAGCCTAACGATAGTATTACGAGAAGACTTTACAAAATTCCACACCATATCGAAAGATAAAATTTTGCACAGATAGCCATTTGCGAATTCGCTTTCCAGCAGGGTTGTACGAGATGTGCTTTTTTGTAATCAAGGCGAGACAAAGTTCCTATAATTTTTCGAGAGGAGACATATCCCACTGCACATTTCCCACTGTCTGCCACGACATGATGGAAATCGGTCGATTCGGTTGGTTCGGTTTTTTCAGAGCGGCCATTATTTTGAAATATTTCAAGTTTTACTTCAGCTCAAAACTGTTTGAGTCTCTAAAATGCGTATAGTTCTTGATTTTTGGTTAGTTTGAATATCAAAAAAATCAAATATAAACTGCCCGAAAGTGGAGATTTTTGTGTTTTTTTAAAGTTTGAGTAAACTTCAAAACAAGCTTTTTTTACTGACTTGAAAACCGAAATATAGGATATTAAAAAAATAAGTTTTATTAATATGTGAGAGCACTTCAGGCGAAAAATAGAAATTTTTAGAAAAAGGGAGTTTCTGAAATTTTAACGACCATATTTTTCGAAAAAGCAGGTTTCGCAAGATTTCATTTTATGAGTTATTTTACTTGAACCATTAACACATCAATGAACGCCAAAAAAAGGTCTAAAAGTTTGGAAATTTGACAGAATAGCCCTTACAAAAAAACCGACCGAACCGACCAATTTTTCAAACACGCCGTCTGCAACGGCGCGCGAACGTGTTGGTGGACTGACAACCCGGTCGTCCCCGCATGGAAGCGCCGGTCTTCCCCGCCCAGTGCCTGAGTTTTTGCAATATTTGTTGTTTTTAAATTTTAAAGCGTTTTTAACGTTCTGTAAGCGTGTTGGATAGGCTCAGATCAGTAATTTGTTGGAGAGGTGTACAGTTTGGGGAGTGAATTTTGAACTTTAATTTAGCCAAAAACCTGAAAAAAATCCCTACTTCAAAAACCGTCCGCATATTTTAACTTTCATTGGTTTGAAACTTGAGATTTCATGGCCTTTTTTTCTCGTCAGGACTTGTTCTAGGAATTTTTCTTAATTCGAAAAATTTGAAAAATCTCTTCATTTTTCAGATGGCGAGAACGGCAAACCCCTGTCCTCACGCTATCAAATGTCGGAAAACGTCCGGACGACCAAATTCACGGTGGTCATCTCCTTGATTCACGTCATCGTCTACCTGATTTACCTGTCCGGAACTCTTACCACACGTCTTCATAAGGACTCTTTTGCCACTCCGGTCGATTTCCAGGCCTTTCGAGGCGTTTTCTTTGTGGGTCCGATTTTTTTGTTGTACAGTTGTTATAAAAATTTATGAATTTAGGGACAAGTTGAGTGAATTTTATTAATTTCTTTTTGGTTACTTAGGAACTTTATACTGATCCCTATAGGGTCTGACCCCTTTGCCCTTAAAGCTTAAGTGGTCCCTATAGGGTTCGTTTGATTTTTTTGAAAACAGGTTTATTTTTTTCATTTTTTTCGCGTAGAGCTCATGCCGTGTTCAAAGTAATTTCCGCGAAATGCAAAACGGTCTCTGACCCTCCAAAATTTAGTTATCTTTCTCTTTCTCTGACAGCTATTTTGAATTTCGCGGAATCACTTTGAACACGGCATCATAAAAATTATCGACTAGCATTTCCCCTACAAAAGCCACTAACTAAAACCCCTTAGGGACCACTTTTGCAAGCTTTAATGACCCCTATAGGGTTGGTAAAGTACTCCCTACAGAAGACCCTGAGGTTGTCCCTATAGTGGCCACTCTGGAGTTGCTAAGTAGTTTGATCCAAAATCTCTTCGATGAGAGTCTAATTCTGATTTTTACAAGCCTCTTAAAGCTTTTTGTGGTTCTAATAGTCAAAATTGGTGTTTTCCTATCATTCCAAGCATTTTTCGAACAACCGAAAACTTGCAGTTCGTGCCAGATATGTTCCTGTTCATGGGATGCATGGCCCAGAGGCTTCTGGACAGTATGCGGATGGCCGAAACGAAGAGAATCCGAACCTCCGTCGCGATCCGATTCAACGGCGTCGAAGGCGCCAACAACTACTTCCAAGCCATTCAGAAGCAGTGGAACTCCATTGATTCTTGACCTCTTCTGTCATATCAATAAAGCATTCGAACACAAAAATAACGAAAAAAATCTCCGATTTCAATGGATTTCATCTTTTTTTTTTCTCACACACAAGAAATTTGACACCACGTGACGCGCCCCCGTATTTTCCTTAATTGACACATAAGAAAGCGCCCTTCTTTCAGTCCAATTTTCTCTTCTAACTGATTTTTCGATTTCCTTAATAGTTTAGACAAGCCTGGTTAAACTAGTCTCGCTGCAGTTACATCTCCCGACGAGTAACTACTTGAGCCCAATTGCATATTTTATGATAGTAAAAAGAGAAAGTCGCTAAATTGATAACCATTTCAAACCGACAGCTTTCCAGATGCGATTCTGGTTTTTTAACTACTGGGAAAAATTTTTAGTGGCCACTTCAAAGGCTCGCCAAGGACTACTTGAGAGGACACTAAAGTGGCCACTAAACCCACCTCTATAGTGGCCACTATTTTTCCGTTTTAGTGGGCACTATAGAGGCTCTCAATTTAGTGGCCATTTCAGTAATTCTGATAATTTAAAAAAACAAACAGATTGGACCAGTTATCTTGATCCATTGACCCCTAAAGTGGCTACTAACATTTTTTTAGTGGTCTAGTAGGAACACATAGACCTCTATAATGGCCACTAATTTTTAACCCCTTAAGTGGCCGCTAAATTGACTACTATAGTGGCGCCAAAAACCCTATAGTGGCCACTAAAAAAATGTTCCCAGTATACTACTAAACTCGTTCCAAAAACGGTGTTTTCGAAAGAAAAAGTTCAAAAAGAGCAGAAAAAAGTTGTTTTCTTGCCCCTCCTCGCACTCGAGTTTCAAGGGCTTCTTGTGCAAGTGATAGTCGTCTAGCGTTGACATAGTTCTTCCAAACGAGTTTTTTTCGTCTTATTACGAAAAAGTTTATTAAATTTGCTAAATTTGATCTCTCAGTGACTCACTAGAATAATAAATTTCAAAATTCAGCTTTTTCTAAAAAAAGTAAGTTTTACTCAGAAAAAAAGTATACTTCTGAGAAAAAAACACCAGCGGCCACATAAGATGTTCTTAAAAAAACTACTTGGAGAAGGCACTAAAGTGGTCTTCCTCTAAAGAAGCCACTATAGTAGTTTTTAGTGATCTAGTTGTGCCCCCTAGATTTCTAGAGGGGTCACTTATTTTTAGCCGCTCAAGTGACCACTAATTCGAGCACTATAGTGATCCCAAAAACGGCAAAACCCTAAAGTGGCCACTAAAAAGTTTTTCCCAGTCACCTACTTTCTTTAAAAAAAACCTTAAAAAAGATGGATAAAGCCGTGGAGCGGATTTAACTTTTCATAGAATTCATTTTCCCGGCTAAAATATCAAATTCCTTCTCCAGAAGCCCAGAATTCTGTGTTACCAGTGGAGCGCATTTGGCCTTTTATAGATCATTCTTCCCGGCTAAAATATCAAATTCCTTCTCCCGAAATCCAGAAATCTGTGTTATCAGTGGAGCGCACTTGGCCTTCTATAGTTCATTTTTCCCGGCTAAAATATCAAATTCCTTCTTCCGAAACCCAGAAGTCTGTGGTGAAGCTCAATCTTGTCCTATAAATCAAGAGAACTCGTTGTAACAACGGCCTTTTTATTGTTACGCTTTCCTTGAACCAACTACCCGATTCTCAAAAAGCGGACGAGTTAGCCACTTGACCACGAAAGCTTTAGTTGAATAAATCGAGTAATCGACGTCTAGGTATTGAAAATGAAACGCCTTTCTGAAGTTTTTTTTTGTTTTGATTCCAACGGTCTACTTACAAGCGCTTGGAAATTTGTACTTTCGAGGATTATCTACCAAAAAAATTTTTCCACGTACAAATTGCATAGTCATCATCATAACTTTGCTTCTTTTTCCTATATTTTCGCTCTTTCTCTCGAAAGTTGTCAATTTTTATTTTAAAATGCTGCCGAGTAAGAGAAATGACCAAAAATGGCCACTAATTGGGCGCTTGACCTAACACGTAAATTAAATGTCGAATAGTCTAATTGAAGCGAGTTTTTTTCAAAATTTTGCCAATAGAGAGCTTCCTCGGACCTTGGTAACGCGAACGAGACGCAAATCAGACGTGTCGGGGCATTCCTAGTAACCACTTCAGTAGCCTCAGAACTCTTAAGTGATCCCTAGAACTGCCCAGAAACGTCCGGAGCACGTCCGGTTCGCGTTACCAATGTCCGAGTTCGAAAAACGCTCGAGGAATCCTTTGGCTATAGAGCGTACTTCAAACATTTTTTTGTTTAGTTTATTTCGCTCTTTTTTTTTTTTTTTTCTCTTTCAATCGCACCTTAGCGGCGCTAATACACTTTTTACTGTAAATGAAAAATATCAAGCCTTGAAGAAGGATATTTCTTGCTACATTTGATTGAAAAATTCTCAAACCCTCCTCCGCTTGTTGGAATGCCAAAAATTTACCTCACCACGAATAATTAATAAAAAGAAAGATTCAAAAATTGTGCTTTTTCGTATACGTTGAAGACACTTGTATTTGTTCGCGATTAGAATATTTCCATCATCTTCCAAGACCTCAAGTTGTGGAAAAAGCTTTTTTTGTGTCCCCAAAAAAAAGGAACCTCCAGTTCCCAAGAAGTCCGAAAAATCCTTCTGTGGGCGAAAATAAAATGGCATTTCAAATATATTAGATATGAAAGCGGCTCAAAAAGCCGTTAGCAATGGAGCGTACGTTCACCGGTTTTATTTTCTTGCAATCTTTGTCCTGTACCTTCAATTGCAGTTATTCACTATGAGGCTCAAAAACCCCTACCTTTTTAAAATAAATCAGAGCATCACCCCAATTTTTTCTTGAACTAAAAATTTCAAAACTCCACAATTTCCAAGAATCCAGTCAGATTTGTTTTTTGACCGCGGATATTGGGTATCCGCAAACACATTTTCCATAACATATTTAAAATTGGTCCGGTTTCATTAAGTATCTGCAAAGTTATTGTCAAAAAACCGTATTTTGTCTCACCCATTCTTGCTACTGTATATTTATTGATTTCAAAAACGAGCTGTGCGGTTCAAAAAAGTCTGTATCTTGTTTTTTGCTTGCAATTTTGCTCGAGTAGCTATTTACCGAGGCTCAAACTCTCCCCGTTCCAATCTGAGCCATAATCTCCTTAACTTCTTCCAAAAAAAAAAAAAAATCCCAAACCTCCAAAAATCTCAAGAAGCGCCAGCAAAATTAGCCGGCTTGACCACACGGGCGGGATCCATGTCAAATCAATTAACAAATGAGCCGTCAGAGGCGGGGTTTTCGAGGGTCGGCCCGCCGCCCGCTCGCGGCTCAATTTCGATATGTGTTGCGTATTTACGCATCTGCCCTCGCTCTCGTCACTTCTCCGTGCAAAATCGGACCCCGCTGACACACATTTTTACGTCCTCTCTCCCTTCTACTTTTTTTATTCCACCCCTTCTTTTTTATTTGTTTGTTTAATTGATTCTTCTTCCATTTTTTTCGATTTGGGTGAACCTTTTCTTCAAACTTTTTTTCCAGTTGATACTTTACATCTATCATCATCGTTGTAGCTCTACAGTAGTCCGAAAATGATAATCTCTTTCTCAAGCGTTCTGGCGGAGTTTCGTAAAAGCATTATTCGTACGATCTTCCACCTTACACCTCCATAGGCAAAGTAGTAATGACCCTTTAAACGTCCATTATGGATCCAAAAGGTTCCCATTAACTGTTCCTAAACGGGTGGCCACGGTTTCCGTTTTACTGCCTTTTTGCGTCCTTTCCTCGGCCTTTATCCACCCTTTTTGGACCCTTTGAGAAGTACAAATTTTTTGAATTGAGAATAATCTTTACCAGTGACTGTGTATGATCCTAATAAAATCAAAAATCATCAATGGCCGAGACTTTCGGCACCCTTTTTTCAACCTTTTTGACCCTTTTTTTACCCCACCAAGAAAGAAAGGCTCAATAATGGCCGCAAAACGGAACCCTTTTAGCGGCCATTTTGCACCTGTTTTCCCACTTCCAACTTTGGCAGTGTCGGTTATTCCGAAAATCCTCAAAAAGTTCCCTCATAAAATTCCGCGTTCTAGCGGAGTGTCGTACTGAAAAAATTTTTTCCAAAGATTCGTCATCATTCCAAGCAAAAAACAAAGCTAATAAAGAAGAAGAACACCTCAAAAAGTGAGAAAATGTTGCCAGTTTTGCACTAAAGTTGAGCCAATTTTCCGAGTTTTTCCGTTCTGCGGATGACATTTCCACGAGAAAGTGCGAGGCTTCTGGGATCTTTGACTAAAAATCCTTTACTATATATATATTCTTCAAAGGGTACCTTTCCAGGGTGAGATATTTTGAAATAGTCAACTTGAATCATTTTTCTATGACTTTTTGTATTTTGCACTTTTTAAACTCTTGAATATTCTATCCGTCTTCCGAAAAATCCAGTAAAAACCAAAAAAAGTACTTCAGAGAGGGATTAGCGAAAAAGGCTATTTTAGTTGGGTGAGGACAAAGTTCTCCAATTCCGTCTTTTTCTTGTTTTTGTACTTCATCTTTTTAGGGAACAAAAAAGTGGCCTCCATAGGGGTTAAATCAAGGTAGTCCCTATAGGGATTTTTGGGTCTGATCCTCTAGCCCCTAAAGCTCAAGGGGCCCCTAGAGGATCTTTTTCTTCCAGAAAATGTTTATTTTTAGTTCTTCGCATGAGAGTTCATAAAAATCTTCGTCCCCTATAGGGAACACTTTTACAAGCTTTAGTGGACCCTATAGGGGGTTGCTAAAATGGTTCCTAGAGGGCACCGTTCAAAGGCCCTTCTAGAGACCACTCAGGAGTTCCTAAGTCAAAAATCCAGGAATTTTTCCTACTTTCTAAACTACGTATAGAATTTGTAATACTAAAAACGGAGCCTTTGTTCTCGTGGGAGTCACCTATTTTTCCGTTTCCAATACTTTCACGAGCTTCAAGTTCATGAGGAAAAATCTCATTTTATTTTTCCTAGCTTATATTTTCAGTTCCTTTTCATAAAATCATTCGATTTTCAGCTATCCATAGTTCTTGAGAGCTTTGAAAGTCCATTCTTGGACAATATTCAAAAATTCAGGAAAAATGAGACGTTTAAAAAGTTGAAAAAATTGTCCTATTGAAGTCCGCAGAACACAGTGACGCAATCACTGCGAGGTTGATTTTTTTAACGTAATTTTTGTCAAGTTTTTCCCGCTTCTTTAAATTTTTACTTATTCTTTACAGCAATTTTAAAATTTCCTATAAATCAATAATATTTGAATTGACAAAAGTTCATATAGATCCTAAGTTTTTGTAGATTTTGATGTTTTTGTAAGTATTACAACTGAACGCTAGCTAATACTCAAATTTTTCCTTCCACTCAATCAAAAATATTTCAAACCAACTTCTCCACGGAAACCTGACAAGCCGAAAAAGGTCGAATTTCTCTCTCTCTACCACCAATACCCAATGGGTTCTCACCAAAATGCTGATTCTCCTAATGGGTGAGAATTTTTTGGGCATCAAATTACCATCAATTATTGCGAGTGAATAAAACGTCCTTTTTGCCTCTTGACCGGAAGGCATTGTTTGATCTCGTGTTTTGTTGGAATAATGTGAAATTTATGCATTTTCTAAAAAGAGAAACGCTGAAATTGGAACCTATCGTCCTGATGAAAGGTTCTTTTTGGATTTTTCGTCAGAAATTTAGACATTTTGTTGATTTTTCTTCAAAAATGCATCATTTTCAAAGCTTCAAAGCATAATAAATTGGAAAAATATAGTCAATTTAAAACGAGAAAAAGCTTGATATTTTGATCTCAAAATTCCATATTTTTGCCCAAAAATTGTATAAATCGACCTAAATCCACACAGAAATCTATTTCCTCAATTTGAGAATTGAGATTCAAAGAAAGCTTAAATATGTACATCAATAAACAAGAAAACTTGAAAATTATGAAAAATCTTTTTAGACAATTAATCGCGATTCCCTGTCCCAAAAATTGAATCATCTTTTCTTCATATTTTCCTTCTTTTCGGACATTCAGAGACGTTCTCTTCCTCTCTTTTTCCTGCCTTGTTTTGCCTCTCGGATTAAATCCGTCGCCCCAATTCCCCGCTCAAAACGAACGAGAGAAAAAAGGGGAAGAAACCCTTCTCTGCACCTTTTTTCAATTGGTTTTTGCACTTTTTAAAAACTTGGGATGAGCTTATTTTGGAGTTGAAAACTCAAGTCATAAGCTTGTAGTTAATCGTGCCCCTAGTCACTTCAAATCATATGTTTTTATAGTTAGGTCAAGCTGATTTTTGATTTTTATCCCTTCAATGATCCACATTATAGTACAGAAGGCGTATAAATCCTCTCAAAACCTTCCGGTCGCATTTGAATGGCTCAACGCGTCGCGGTTGCCTGCGGCTACAATAATAACCCTTGAGTCAATGAGACATCCTACAGATCTCGCTTTTTAAGGTCAAATATCAAGTTGCCAGCTTAAATTTAACTCAATTTAATCTTTGCTCAAGTCATTCAAGTCATGTGTTTTAGAGTCTAGTCAAGCGAGTTTTTGGTTTTTCTTCATGTTGTCATAGTATAAAAGGCGTATAAGTTCACTCTCAAAACCCTCCGGTCGCATTTGGAATGGCTCAACGCGTCGCGGTTGCCCTGCGGCTACAATAATAACCCTTGAGTCAATGAGACATCCTACAGATCTGCTTTTAGGTCAAATATCAAGTTGCCAGCTTAAAAATTTAACTCAATTTAATCTTGCTCAAGTCATTCAAGTCATGTGTTTTTAGAGTCTAGTCAAGCGAGTTTTTGGTTTTCTTCATGTTGTCATAGTATAAAAAGGCGTATAAGTTCACTCTCAAAACCTCCGGTCGCATTTGGAATGGCTCAACACGTCGCGGGTTGCGCTGCGGCTACAATAATAACCTTGAGACAATGAACGTCCTACAGATCTGCTTTTAAAGAGTCAAATATCAAGATTAACAGCTCATCAATCTTGCCCTAGTCCCTTCAAATCATATGTTTTTATAGTTTAGTCAAGCGGATTTTTGATTTTTATCCCTTCAATGATCCACATTATAGTACAGAAAGCGTATAAATTCACTCTCAAAACCTCCGGTCGCATTTGAATGGCTCAACGCGTCGCGCTTGCGCTGCGGCTGTAATAATAACCCTTGAGTCAATGAGACGTCCCACAGATCTGCTTTTTAAGGTCAAATATCAGTTGAAAGCTCATCAATCTTTCCCTAGTCACTTCAAATAATGTGTAGTTTAGTTAAGTGGATTTTTGGTTTTATTCATGTTGTCATAGTATAAAGCGCGTATAAATTCTCTCTCTCAAAACCCTCCGGTCGCATTTGGAATGGCTCAACGCGTGGCGCTTGCGCTGCGGCTGCACTAATAACCCTTGAGTCAATGAGACGTCCCACAGATCTGCTTTTTAAGGTCAAATATCAAGTTGAAAGCTCATCAATGCTGCCCTATCACTTCAAATAATGTGTAGAATTCAAGCAGATTTCAGACTCTTATCCCTTCAATGATCCACATTATAGTACAGAAGGCGTATAAATTCTCTCTCAAAACCTTCCGGTCGCATTTGGAATGGCTCAACGCGTCGCGGTTGCGCTGCGGCTACAACAATTACGACTGACTGAAAAATCCTACAGATCTTTTCAGCGAGCGAGAGTCGTTTCTGGTCGGCCGCATTCTCAAGCAGAACAAGATTATTGAAGCCCCATAATCACTAATGAAACTTCACTCAAAGATCAGACTACAAAAAGAAAGTCTTCACCTTCTGGCCGCCACTTCTCACATGCCACTAAATGACTATTTGCTCCTTTTCTTTGTTTTTCCAAGCTTGAGTTTCAAAACTTCCTTTTATGACTATTTCAAATAGTTCGCTACCACCTAAATTCAATTTTCAGAACATACGATGGCCCCAGCCTCAGAATGTGATTTGGTGAGTTCATACCTTCAAAGTCTTGTCAAATACGTATCCTGTGAAATTTTTCCAGAGCTCAATTTTAAGAGTCATTTCCAGGAAACTATAAGCCCTCACTAAGTGGAATTTCCATAGGTCGCAAGTGGAATGGCTCAAAGCGTCTCGAAGACGTTTATCAGTTTTGAAGCTTTCAAAGTAGGAAACAGAATGAACTTTTAGTCAGGGCTTCTTGGAAGCAACCAGGGGCATTCTCAGCGATAATTATTAAGTGAACATCTATCAAAATGTCCATTGCATAAATAACTGAGCTTTAAGGAAGCCGCGACAATATTTTTTCGCTCCTATCAGATCGTCTACCTTGTGAACGCTTTTGTCGGCGACGTCGTTGTTCGTTTTTCATTAAGGTATACTTACTCCATTTCATCAAATTTTCAGGTTAGTCTAATTTTTTCAAATCGAGTTCTCTGAAAATTCATTCAATCAAAAAGGCTTTGTTTGAATTTTTTGTTTATTCCTGAGAGCTCTCTGCTGTCTGACACTATACAGCCTTCTAAATAATTCGCCCCAGCCTTTGGTGAACTCCGCCCATTTCAAGGCATACTGTGGATGCGTAGCCAACTCAGTTATTCTCTCTAATCGAGCATGTTCTCTGCATTAAAATTAGTTTGAAACGATTTGCATCGCTGGAGGAAAAATTTGGCTTTTTACGGTATTTTTCCACAGTACAGCAGAAAATGGGCCCGGAGCTTATCGAAGCTTGCAGGTATTATTCAGAAAGACTACGTATGGTATCGGTGCCAGTGGAAACAGAAACTCTGAGAGTGTTATACCAAGCCTGCAAACCTCGGAGAGAACGAGTGTTGAGCAAAACACTTATATTTTATAAATTCAGATTTTTCTTCTCGGCTACTTCCTGTCGAAACTTAGTCATTCCATGATTTCTATTGCATGAGGTCCAGTGACTGAATAAAAATCCATAGAAAAGAAGCTGAATTTTCAGACGCCCATCCCTGTCCCGTCTACTGGCATCCTATTCCGAACCATGTAGGCGCTCTGATTCCAGCTTTTCCTAATACAGTGAGTCCATGTATTCGCTTGATTTGTTGTCTCTCATTTCCGGGCATTATCCGGACAGGTTTGAGTCATTTTTGTCCTGACATGTATCCGTTTTATATATTTGCATTGTAATTTTTCGTATCCATCCTCGCAGTATTCTCAACATGACCTTCATCGCACGATGGAGATGGCTCCAAAGCGTTACAGACGCTTCTTACGCCCGACCTAAAACGACTTGCGCGCGGTTTTAGCGAGCCGTGATAAAGAAGCAACGATGTTTTAGCCATTCCAAAGTCGCGACCAAGGCACGGTTCTGGTGATCATGAACGCTATTGATAGCAATTTAAGAGCTCTACTGGTAGCCGAGACGATTGGCGGCAACGGTCGTGGTGAAGACCTACGAGAATACGAGTCAAGGATCCAGTTTGGCGGTTTTATCTGGTCGTTGTGAGTTGAGAGCTGAAGAAAAGGTCATTTACTTTCGATGGTTAGAGGAATTTTCACAGAAAATCAGTACAAAACACTCCTTGAAGTACCAAAAAGGGTTCACAGAAAGTCTCAACCTGCATAACTTCCTAGTTTTTGAGAAATTAGGTCAAAATCAGCCAAAAGGCCATGGAGCTGTCAGCCTTATTTCTTGATAGCTGTGAGTGTTACTGCAGATTGGACTTTCAAAGCTACTAGAAACTGCTCTAAAGAAAAGTTTTTCAGAGAGTCCCAACCGTAAAGTAAAAATGGTCTACGCTTTGTAAAGGTAAACATTCCCTGGACTTCTAAAATTCATGTCAGAATCATCATTTCCTGGTATGAGTCCTGTGTCCCGACTTGAAATTTCACGAACGACATTCCGCTGTGCCGCTGTGCCTTTAGCTGAGGAACAGTCAGTCGCTTTTAATCGCTTTTATCAAGGTACTTTACTTTCATGGGGTCCCACAGCAGCTAACAAATCATTTTAAAAGCGCGACCGAGGCAGCGCTTCGCGAACGCACGCAGTCTGGAACGGCGGAATGTCGTTCCAGTGAAGAATCTGGTCATCGTGGCACGCAGACTATACCTTTTCAAAGAAAAATAGTTTTGCTTAAACTTTCAAACGTTCCTCACGAGAGTTCACAGTTTTTCTATCAGTAATGCTCAATCTCAACTTATAAGGTCACGAGAAACTTGACAAGACATCGATGTTCAGGGTGTTCTACTACCAATCCTGCTTGTCTACTGGGGCCTATGCTGATGGAGACTTTAGCCGTGCTTTAATTACGGTCTGAGCTCCTCAGGGGGTGTGGTGGTTTTCTCAAGTTAATTTAAAGAGCATCTCTTTTTTTTGGTTTGTGTTTGTTGTTTTTGGTGTTTTGTTTTGGTGTTGTGGGTTGGTGTTTTGTTTTTTGGGTTTGGGGTGTTGTTTTTGGTTTTAAAAAGCTTTTTACATTTCTTGTACACACGTTTCTAGTGATCACTTGGTGGCGTCGAGATCTAAGTGATCCCTAGAGCTGCCAGAAACGTCGCAGACACCTCCTTTTCGTTACCAGTGTCTGACAGGCTTCATTGAGAGATGTTGCACAAAATTTACCAGAACTCTTACTTTTTAGGGAATAATTTCTCTCCTCCCTTGACCTCTCAAAGCTCCAATCTGTCCCAGGTATTCTGTACCTTCTTCCTACGCCTTTTGTACCCTTGAGCGACGCCCCAAGAATCGATTAGCCGAGGTCCTATCCACGATATTGATAATCAGTGGACTGGCTCTAGTGACATATCCGTGTTTGTGAAGTCGTGGTTTCCCACTGCAACATCTCTTAAGCCACTTGAGGATTTGGTTCGAAGGGAGGGATCAGGCTTGTGACTCTGTGAACCGTGAGACAGGCACACGACCTGTTGCGCTGCGGCGCGCCGTTTTCTGCCTAACAAAAATTTCCAGAATGGCCCTTCTCGCTGGCCGTCTCGCTACCAAACATCGGAAAATATTGCTACAACTCGGTTCATCACAGTTATTCTGTGTCGTTCACTGACGATATGCCTGATTTACACGGCACGCCAACGTTGTTTGCCAGAACTTTCGATTTGACTTTTGGATCCGGGATCAACGATGACTTTGAGTGCTGAAATCCGGTCTTCATGTGCGAGTTTCCTTCAGTTTTCAGGTTCAGAGACTTTTCGAAGTACTAAGGAGTTTACGCTATCATTGATTTTCTTAACAACTATACTCTCAACTGGAGAGACTTTTAAAACTCAGAGAAATAAAATGTCTAGTTTGTTCAAGGGAGCGTGCCAAAAATTCAGATGCCGCGAGGAAGCCGGTTTAAAGTCGGGTGCAACTAAAAGCAATGAAAAGCATGAGGCTAAGATATTCGTTTTCACATGTCTGAATTGAAAGCTCGCTTGACCGCACTTGGAATGGCCAGGCTGCACGACGGTGAAATTAATAACGCAGCCGACCCAAAACGCTACTTGCGCGCGGAGGCATCGAAAATCATTATCTGAATCGGCAGCTCCTCAAATGCGAGCTGAAGAGCAAAAGAAATCATTTTCACATGTTCGAAAAGCTTCTACATCAGTTTGCGCATGATCGTTGCCGATCGTCGCGCGAGTTGGCAGCCCGGCCAGATTGAAGAAGCGACGGAAAAAGGACGCGTCAAATGGTCGCACGTCAGGGGCGAGAGAGCCGCGAAGGAGCTCCGACGCCACTACACTCAGAGCTCCACCAGCAGCGAGTAGATAGTGTGAGTGCTTTGGGGATCCCTTGGATAATTCATCTGGAGTTTTGCAGGTGGCTCTGTGCACCAAGTGGTCATGCGAGGCTCTAGGAGGACCACTTGAATCGCTAAGGTAGTCGGTGGTGCTCAGGGATTGTGTGGTTTTTGTTGTGTGTTGTGTGTTGTGTTTTTTGTTGGTTGGGTTTTTTGTTGTGTTTTTTGTTTTTTTTGTTGGTGGTTTTTTGGGTGGGTTTTGGTTTTTTTTTTTTTTTTGTGGTCTTGTCAAACCTTCCTAAAATGATCCCTAGAAAACTTTCCATTTTGATTCCCCATATCTTCTAGCTAGCACTCAACGGTTTTTCATTCAATTTTTGATAAAAGAATGAAAAGCCATAATTTTTCATTCAGCTGACTGGAGAGAGATCCCAAAATTTCTTCTTCTGATGAGTAGTGGTGGGCGTCGATAAAGGCCGCCTTTCCACAGGGAACACCTGGAGAAAGTTCCAGAGTTCAGGAAAATCAGAAAATCGAAAAACTGACCTCACTACGTCATTCCGCAGCGTCAGATTGTAACGGTAGAAGGTGACAGCAGCGGACGAGGTCCGACCGGAGTTTCGGAACTAAATTTTTAAATTTCAAATTCAAAAATTTCATTATCATCACTATCAAGAAAAGCTTGCGTTTCCACTTGAAAAACTTTCTGAAATGATTCAGCCTTTGCTCAGATCTCGCTAGCTGATGTAATCCCGGACCTCGGTGACACCAATCAGGACGTTTCCAGGCGGTGCTTAAGGATCACTTAAGAGTTCTGACACTGCTAAAGTGGTCCCTAGAGGAGAACTTTTAGAAATGCCCGAGAGTCCAAAATATCCCTTTTCATTCAAAATCTACGGATACTTAAAGGACCTACGACACTGCTAAACGTGAGTGTCAAACACCAATGCCCGCGTCCAAACATCCTTGCATCGAGATTTTTCACAGATCACTTAAGAGTTCTGACACACCACTAAAGTGGTCCCTAGAGAGGAGCTCAGAACGTCAAGGTTGCTTTACCGAGGTCCAATATCCCTTTTGATTCAAAATTTTTCCACGAGGGTCCACATAGATTCTGACACCGCTAAAGTGGTCCCTACAGGAGACTCAGAAACGTCCGGGTTGCTCCACCAAGGTCCAAAATATCCCTGATTTGAATTTTTCTAGAGGTCCGCCCAAGGAGTTCACGACAACGCAAAGTGGTCCCCTGGAAGGAAAACTCAGGAACGTCCGGGTTGCTCTACCAAGGTCCAAAATATCCCTTTTACATTCCAAATGTTTCTAGGGATCGCTTAGGTTTCCCAGCAACGCTACAGTGGATCCCTAGGGGAGAGCTCAAGAAAACGTCCGGGTTGCTCCACCAAGGTCCAAAATATCCCTGATTGAATCTACGGGTCGCGAGAGTTCTGACAACGCTAAAGTGAGTCCCTAGAGCTTTCAGAAACGAACGTCGGGTTGCTCTGCAAGGTCAGAAATATCACTTTTTATTCAAATTTTACTAGCAATGACTGTACGACTATTTTTGTTCTTGTACTTAGAAAACTAAATTTTATCCCTTTACTATGTTTTTGTCGATATTTTTCAGCTGCAATCAAAACGTGCTCACTGGCCACCGGTAATCAGTAGGAAGTGATCATCGTGCGGCTTGAAAAGGTACGCCTTCTAGATTGGAAACTGAAGGTCAGTTGGAGGTGACGCTGTTGAGAGAGAATTTTCACACTTTTCAAGCCAGTTTGCCGAATAAAACCAAAGATCGCACCAATTGGGTCGGCTGATTATTGATCAAAACGGTCCACCAATGAGTTGTTGTTCTCCGTATTGTGTTTCATCGACGGGAAAGTGAAGCCAGATCTAAAATATTTTCCCTCGGGAGTAAGACGGCTCAAAGAATGCTGCGGACTCTGAAGTAAGAGACAAAATTTGCAGGCTACGATTCTAAATCCGTCAGCATAGCCGAAAAATCCGTAGTATGGGTTACGCACAAAATATTGAGAATCAATATTTCAAATGAGCCACTCTAAAGGTGACATAGGTGATGACGAAACCCGGCATCCTCAAGAAATGAGGCGTTTTTCATTCGTCACATAATCTAGGCTTCCAACAAAGCAAAAACCCTACTAGTTTTGGGTGAATGCGCGATAGCCACACACTCTACACTTTTTCGAAAAATTCAGAGCACAACAACAAGGCATATACTTGATTTTGAAATAACTAAAATGTAGTTTTGTTATTTGAATGAGTAAAGAAATAAGAGCCTATGGATGATTAAGATCAGAGAGCCGGACGTCTCTTAATCTTGGTTAAATTTACTACAAAGGCTCATAGATTTTCCACAAAGCTTCATCGGCAGATTAACTTACCATCGATTCGAAACCAAGCGTGCATTATGTGAGCCCTTGCTTTATTTTGAAGAACAAGTTTG